GGGGGGGGGGGGGGGGGGGGGGGTCCAAAAATCGTTCTCTAGGAATATACCCAAACCTGTTCGCCACCAATGCATCCGACTTCCTTGGACAGTTTAACCAGCGAGGAGGTATAGGACCAGGTCCTGAACCATACCCCATCCTCAAAAATCTGTAAAATGTTAAAATTAAAAATATATTTTCTTTTTAATAGATTTTAAACTTAATATATGCAAAGATATGTCCACAACAAAAATATCGTATTTATGACTTCTGTCAGGAGAGTCAGGAATAGTTTTAAATTACGATTTTTTATTTTTAATGCCTCACAAGCCGTATGATAATCTGCGCAATTCCTTGAATTTTGCCGCGGCAGAAAATAGTTCTTGACAAATTTGATCGTCTTTATTTTACAAAATTTACGTTAAAAAAATTGCCAAAAATAATTAAAAAACAAGTATGCCGTGGCCACAAATTTTAGCTCCCCTTAGCTTATCAAGAAGTCCAAAGTAAGAATTTGTTCACATTTATTTTCAAATTTAAATTTTTTAACAAATTTTGAAAGGAGCGATGAATTTTTTCTCTGATTGTTGTATTTTCTCAATCATTGATCATTTCTCATGTTACACAATGATTTTTAAAAAAATAAGTTTAAACCAATTAACCTTTTCCTTTTTTTCAATCGATATAATGTCCTAATTTTATGTATTTAATCTTTCAGTTTTGTTGTGAAGAAATATTCTTTTAAATGTCGTCTTTGACTAATTTACTGCTAACTGCACGGCAATATCATTACGTGGCCGGACTTGTTCCGCCAGAATTGGAAATCATAAGATCAAATAGTGATTTTTCATCATCTTTAAATAATATTTTGTTAGAATAAAAATGAAAATTTGAAAAAATATTTCTTATTTTAAAATCAGTTTAAATGCTTTGCATTTTATTTTTAAAAATCAAAAAAACATTCTAGCCGCCAAAATATAAAGCCTTGAAACTCGCGAGTGTACACTTTTTGTTTCCTATAAACCATACCAAACCTACAACCTCATTCCACGTGTGGTAACTCGTTGAGCAAGGCACAGAAAACCCAAAATTCTTCAAAAGCACTGTCTTACTAATCTCCAAATATGTAAAGTTATAGATCATGAACCATCTAATTATTAAGCCGATTTATCGTTTAAGTACTGTGCATCATTTAAAGGACGCCAAAGAATCAAATTGGAACCTGTGATTTTTAGAAGAAAATGGCCAAGAACAAGAACAAGGGAAAGCCCCGTAACTACGAACTGGACTCCGGTGTTGTCAGGTTTGTAAGATGTGCATCATGCAGAGGATCTGTTTGAAATTGTCTTTGTAAATTAACGTCTCAAAGCATGGTCTTATGCATTTCATATACAGATTGCCTGATTTTGTAATCTTAGATCAGAGCCGGAATTTTTTCATCCGTACTTTTTGCAAACATATAACATCTCTACTTACTAACGTCCTAAATACGGAGGAATTAAGTACTGTCTAAATGGGATTTTCTACAACATTTAGTGTCCGACCATAAACTGCAACAGCGCGCGACCCCTATAGACTAAAATAAATAGAAAGCTGTTCAATTCACTGCATGTATACATTTTCAGGGATGCTTTTTATTGCATGACTTTCAAAAATATTTAGTTCTCAAGAATTCATGGATTATAATAATTTTCGTAAAATAAAACTACAGATTATTAAATTTTTTATTTAGTTTTTATCAAAATCGGATTAAAATGTGGGGGCTGTCCTAGTATACGATTTTTGGACCCCCCCCCAGCCCCCCCCCTCCTATGGATTTTGTACATGACCATTTATTTTTCAGCAAATTTATTATTATTTATTTCTTTGTTATTTAGGGTTAGGTTAGGTTAAGATACTTTCTGGGCCGAGCGCTGCGGCCACGGGTCAGGTTAGTTAAGACATTTTCTGGGCCGTGCGCTGCGGCTAGGACAGGCTAGGGGGCCGAGCGCTGCGGCCACGGGTTAGGTTAGTTAAGACATTTTCTGGGCCGAGCGCTGCGGCTAGGATGGGCTAGGGGGCCGAGCGCTGCGGCCACGGGTTAGGTTAAGTTAAGAAACTTCCTGTCACACCCATGTACAAAATTGATAGGAGGGGGGGGGGGGCCAAAAATCGTTCACTAGGACAGACCCAATCACTCATTAACGCCGCCAAAATCGGGTTGAGTCGAAACTTCTTTTTAAAAAAAATGATTGGCTCTGGTCTTTAAAAAAAGTTAGACCTTTAACCAATATCTAATTCTCCAATACCTGCTTGGGGTCTATCCTTTAACGATTTTTGGACCCCTCCCCCCACATACTTCCTTTCAATTTTGTAAATGGATCTCATATGTAACACATGGAAATAATGTAAATGTGGCCGCAGCGCCCGGCCCCTTAGCCGGGTCCGTCCTAGTATACGATTTATGGACACCCCCGCCCCCCTTTATGACCTATAATATAAGTAATTTTGTATTATTTAGGGTTAGGTTAGGTTTAATTTTAAGTTTTAAAAAAATTATTTATTCCAGAAAAGCTTCTAAACGTTTTAATCAATTTTTTTACGTAGTTATAACTTAATAAATATCTCAGAATGGTCCGCGTGAAGAAGCTTGGAAACTGCATGGACTACCCAACTGTCGCTAAGCCCGCAAAGGTACATAAAAGGGTTTCTCAACTGGGGACTGGGGGGACACTTGCTTTGCATTTTAGTTAATCGCACATAGTTCACGTATTCACATTTCATTCTTTTCACATTCCTGTCTGCAATTTTAAAATGTGTAATATTTAGAACGTGTTACACACTGCTGAAAACGGATCATGGGTTCAAAACAAAAGTCTTCATTTTGTCTTCGGAATATATCACTACTAAGCTTTAAATTGTGACTTAATCTGTGAGCATCTTCTCTTTGTACAAAATAAAACATACAAAAGTTTATAAACCTTCCCCACACAAAATTTGGGTTCCATCGGTTCGGCCGTTTTGACGTTTATTGGATACAAACAGAAAAACAAACTGCCAGACAAGCTAAATTTATATATAGAATTAATATGCAGTCTCCTGAGTCCTGGTTAATAATCTTAATTTTTCAGAAAATGTCACTTGAAGAAATTGTAGAAATATTTTTTCCAAACATCGCATTATTTTCTAAACTTTCGCGGATGACTTAATGTGTTATTGTTTAATTGTGAAATAAACTGAACTTCGCTTTACAGAATTTATTTGTGTAGAAGCTGCACCAGAGCTGTTTTAAGAGCCATGCCAGGAAGCTGAGGAGCTCCATCACTCCCGGAGTTGTTGCCATCATCCTCGCTGGAGTTCACAAGGTTAGTGTTTCAAGGAACACGAATCTTTTGATTGGGACAGGAGTGAAGTCTCTGTAATTGAGTGGGAGGTTTTTTTAACACAATTCATAAAAAAAAATAACATTAATTTACGATTACACACATGGCCTTTAACTTTCTTGAGTACTAAGAAATTCAACAGATAACATTTTAATCCTGTTATAGGGCAAGCACGTCGTAGTGCTGAAGCAGCTGGAGACTGGTCTTCTCCTGATCACCGGGCCCATGACACTGAACGGTTGCCCAATGAGAAGGTAACAATAAATTTATCCTCTTGAAATCTAGAGTTTAGTTATTTAAATCTTTGTGATTATTTCTTCAATTGAATTGAAATGATTGAACGTTAAAATATTAGCGTGTTTAAACAGAAATAACAGTAGGAAAGGAAAATGGTTTTATTTTCAAGGTTTAATTTTTTGAGCTTCCTGGTCCATTCAAATAGATTGTTCATATGAGAATTATCTACTAGAGTTCAGGATATAATAATCATTACCTCACACGACCCACCTGTTAATAGACATTTAGAGTTGGCAATCGAGGGGTGAACATTTCAATATTAAGTCGACAATATCGTAGCCTTTGAACAGGGGGGGGGGAGGCTGGAATGAAGCCAAGAAGATTTGGTACTAGAATGTATGCTGGGGCGGGGGACTGAAAAATCATGTCAGGGGTTAAAGTTTTCTCTAAAATTTTAAGATAAAGATTATATTGTTGTTCTCTAGGATTAACCAGAAGTTCATCATTGCTACCAAGACCAAGATCGACGTCTCCTCCGTCAAGGTAGATTTTTCGTAAAAATAAACTTCACGTTATTTCACTTGACAGACTACTTAGCGTTGATAAATACAGCTCAGGAAAGAAAAAAGTATGGCTATTTCAGACTAAAACAGCAAATCAAAATCTGGTGTACCAGATATGACGTCCATTTTGGTTTCCTTGTATCCTATCTAAGAAACTTGTTTAGCAATAATATGTTTATGTAGTTTTTAGTAATAAATTAATTAGTAAATTGAAATTTACTTAATTATTGAGGTCCCCGAGAGCATCAACGACGCTTACTTTGCCCGCGTGAAGGCTGAGAACAAGGCTAAGAAGGAAGGAGATATCTTCGAGAAGAAGAAGGTTGAGTATGCTCCTTCTGAGCAGAGGAAGAAGGACCAGGCTGAGGTTGACAAGCAGGTTAAACATCTTTTATTTCAAGTTTGAACATTTTCTCATTGTATAATTGTATAAAAATAACAAACAAGAAAGTTGGCATCTATATATAAATTTGGCTTGTCTGTCTGTTTGTCTGTCTGTCTGTTTGTATCCAATAAACGTTAAAACGGCTGAACCGATCGGGCCCAAATTTTTTGTGGGACATCTAGGGACTCCAGGGAAGGTCTATGAATCATCAAAATTTCAAATATTTGTCTCCATCAAAATTCTATCGTCATTAAAGTTTTTAAAATTTTGAAAATCCGCGAAATTTTTTGTGAAATCCCGCGAATTATTTTTGTTTTGTTTTACGATGTACACAAAGAGAACATGTTCACAATTAATTTAGGAGATGGGTGCGAAGCGCCCTCTAAGGCTAGAAAGAAGGGCGCGAAGCGCCTTGAATTTCTAGTATTTTTAAAATTTGATAAAAATGAAATTTTTGAAATTTTAATCATCCATAATCCTGGGGTCATGTTAGGTATCACAAAATCTTCAGGTCTGATCGGTAAAGCAGTTCATTAGTTTGACGTTTTTTGGATACAGAAAACAGACAGACACGCAAAGTATATAATTACAACGGGGCTGTTGATAAACTTTCCTTAATAGAAATGTTGCTTGCTTGTATCCATAACTAAATCGATTTGGTCCACCAAAAAAATGTGTGTCATCTCGTACGATCGTAGAGAACATGGATGGTTTAATAATGAAATTTAAATTTAAAAATACGTCATGTCAACAAAACATATCTTCGACATTGTAAGTTTTGAATTATGCCAAAGAAATTGCCGCTTGAAACCAACATTCAAACGCATTAATTTTTAAAAGCAGTGCTTAGGATCCATTTAATTATGATCCGGATCCAGGTTATTCTTCAAGATTAATTGAGTTTTTTTTACAAAAAAAAAATCTTTTGTTTATCTCATAGAATAGTTTTAACCTTCCAAATTCTGCTTCAAAATGCTGAACAATTACCTTAAAACACTACTTTAATAATGCCATTTCAACAAAGTTTTTTTACATACAAAAAAATCAGCACCCTGTATATTCTTTTCTGTTAGGCGGGTCCAAACTACATAGTAAATTGTGATTTTTTATTTGTATTATCTCGTGCTTTGTAGTTGAATAAAAATATGAAATATGAATATGAAATATGAATATGAATCCTAAAACCAGTCAGAAATGAGAATTTTTATAATCTCCCTTTTTTCAACCCTTCATATTTGGGTTTACAGCAAGTTGTATATTAAGGTTTGTAACTGTCGATGCGCTCTAATGTGCGAAAATGTTTTCTCATATTATAGACTATATTTATAATTGAGGCGAGATTGACGTCATACAAGTTTTCTATCTATATCTTAGTAGATTTAATTTTCCGTATATTGGAGCGTATCGAGAATAACTAACTTATTATACAAACTTGATGGGCAGGGTACTTCTGGATCAAGAGTGAATTTATTGGGTCAGTGTGATAGCAATAAGGGATCTGTCTTGCATAGGTATATATACAAGACGCATGAATTAAGGTTATTATCATATTTATCACGAGAATTCCAACCATTTCAATGGATATTGTCTTCTGAGATAAAATAAATTATGAATGTACTGTTCCTAGGTGATGGATGCTATCAAGAAGGAGAAGGAAGGAGCTGCCCTGAAGCAGTACATGAGATCTACCTTCGGTTTGTCCAAGGGCCAGTTCCCCCACAAGCTTGTCTTCTAAACCATATTCATGTTCTAGGGGTTTCTAACCAACCATCTTGTTGCAGATAGAATGTTGGTCCTGTTTGAGACCCCGGCGGGGTACGCTATATTCAAACTCCTAGACGAGAAGAAGTTACAACAGTCGGACAATCTTTACGAAGATTTTGAGACTGTTGACTCGGCTAAGAATGTTGTTAAACTGAAAAAATTTCAAAAATTTGAGGACACCACGGAGGCCTTGGCCGCCACGACAGCGGCTGTCGAGGGTAAAATGTCGAAATCCTTGAAGAAAATGTTGAAAAAAATTATTGCTGAGGATGCCCATGAGAGCTTAGCTGTTGCCGACGCTAAACTCGGGAACTCTATCCAGGATAAGATGAACCTAAACTGTGTGTTCGACAGTAAAGTGAGTGAACTTATGCGTTGCATTCGTTCACAGGCATCTGGACTCATCACAGGTAGAACCTCTTTGTTGGATTGGATTGGATTGGATTGGATTGGATTGGATTGGATTGGATTGGATTGGATTGGATTGGATTGGATTGGATTGGATTGGATTGGATTGGATTGGATTGGATTGGATTGGATTGGATTGGATTGGAATCTTGAGTTTCTTTCTTAGATTGAACTTGTGACTAGGCTTTTCTGTCTGAATAATGAAACTTGTGGAAATTTGAATCCAAGGAAGTCGGGGTAATGTTCAAGATTCATGCTTGTGGTTATTTTTTCTGGTTAAGAACACAAGCATGAATCTTGAGCATTACCCCGATTTTTTTTAGATTCAAATTACGCCAATTCTTTTCTGGATTTTCATTTAAGCATGGACCTTGTAAGCAAGACTAAAAACCGATATCGTCGAAGAAATCAGTGTATAGGATCCGGATCCTTTGGATCCTTAAGATTTTGGCTTCTTGGATCCGGATCCGCAGAAATATGCGGATCCACGGATAAAATATAAAATAAAAACGGAGTAAAATATCGACCAAAAACTGAAGAAGAAAAAACTTAATCTCAAATCTAAACTTTAAAAAAAAGAGATTATAAAAAAAATTGTCATTTATGAATGGTTCATCAAGTTAAAAGATAAATATAAGCGAAAAAAATCCGCATCAAAATCAAATGGATTCTAAGCACTGGAAGAAATAAAAAAAAAATATTGAAGATCCTCCCTATTTTACTAGTTAAATTTGCAAACTTTAATTTGACATCGTTCAGGTTCAAGGACTTAATTTTAACTCTGCTCTGTATAGGTGTTGCTGATAAAGATATGGCCGCCATGGAGCTTGGTTTGGCTCATTCCCTCTCCCGGTACAAGCTAAAGTTCTCCCCCGACAAGATCGACACCATGATTGTCCAGGTAAGTTCTCCGACCAGCCTCGTTTAATGATGAAAATTCGTTTAATAGCAAATCGAGAAATCCGCTCACGCGTGATTTTATTTTGCAATAACATTTTCTGAAAATTTAGGCTGTGAATTTGTTGGACGATTTGGACAAAGAGCTGAACAATTATATTATGCGCTGTCGAGAATGGTAATTCTAGCAAACTTTTTATTTCATTGAAAGGGGTTCAGTAAAAAAACATTTGTGTTTTTGTGGTAATTTGGCTTAAATTGTGGTATTTTGGCTTGAATTTTTGTAGTCTTAATAATTTAAAAGTTAAAATGAAGTTTTTATTGGGAACCTTTTTTCTATGAATTGGACAAAGTTTTAAAGGATCTTTGATAATGCTATTATTAGGTATGGATGGCATTTCCCCGAGATGGGAAAGATTATCACAGATAACCTGGCCTATGTGAGGACCGTTGAGCTCATGGGAATGCGCGAGAACGCCAAAAGTATAGATTTATCAGACGTACTTCCTGAAGAGGTGAGAGTTTAAGATTTAGGATTTCCTAGTTAAAACCCAGCTCAGAGCTTATCTTCGAGTCTGTATCCTGAACTAGGATATATCAATATTTCTAGAAAACATATTCTTCAGCTTTCTCTAAAAGCTTCGGAATCTTTTTTAGAAACAATTTTAACAATTATAAGGCAAACTATTGCTGTGAAGTAGGAAAACGTCCTGAGGCCGAATTGAATGAATTTGAGCTGCGGCTCAAATATGGGACGCGGTACAAACACGATTGGTTTCACTTGAAATCGTATTTAATGTTTCTTCGAGATTTGACCCGGTGCTGAATTGGAATCGTTTTTTGGTTGATCAGCGACGCGGTTTTAATTCTTTAAAATCGGACCAAGGCCTGGGGATAAAAGACTGTAATACTATTCAGTTTTCGGGAACGAATTAAAACTTTTATCCTGAATTATTTCCTAGTTAAAACCCAGCTCAGAGCTTATCTTTGAGTCTGTATCCTGAACTGGGATATATCAATATTTCTGGGAAACATATTCTTCAGCTTTCTCTAGAAGCTTCGGAATCTTTTTTAGAAACAATCTGAAAAATTTCAGGCTTTAATCATTGCTGTTCGTTTCTTTTTCTATGACATATTATTAATTGATGTATATTTTCGAATGAGTTCCAATGGACAAGTATTGGAAAACAAATCGTTGAACTGAAGAACTTATTTCCAAGTTAAAACCCAGCTCAGAGCTTATCTTTGAGTCTGTATCCTGAACTAGGATATATCAATATTTCTGGAAATAATATTCTTCAGCTTTCTCTAGAAGCTTCGGAATCTTTTTTAGAAACAATTTGTACTAATCTGATATACACTCAATATTTTATATATCTTAGTTCTTATAACTTCATGGCTTGTTTCCAAGTTCTAAACTGAACTTTTAAAAAAATCTTATTTTCCAGGTTGAAGAGAAGGTGAAGGAAGCTGCTGAGATCTCCATGGGTACTGAGATATCTGAAGAAGATATCACTAATATAAAGCATTTATGTGAGCAGGTTGTCGAAATCCAGGTTAGGCAGGGTTTAGTCGACCCATTTCTTAAATTTTGGATAAATAATTTAAATTCATGAAATGTAAAAATATCTTGAGGTGGAAATTCTACGTTCATCTACAAGGCCTGTATCCACACCACAGCAGAAACCAATTCTTAATGTTAAGATTAATATTTAGAAGTTCTTACTTCATAATTTAGATTATTATTCAAATTAAAATATTTATATGATGAACACAAATCTACACTAGACTTTTTATAAATCGTTATGATTTAGATTAGTCTCTGATGTGCTATATGTCATAGTTACTCTGACCTTAACTTAATATTTCTGCAGTTCTAAAAGACGAAAAGAATTTGATTTGCAGAAAAATTAGTTATCATCTTTATCCAAAAAGAAAAACTGAAATTAATCATGTTATGAAAATAATTAAATATAATTTAGAACTATCGGGCTCAGTTGTATGATTATCTGAAGAACAGAATGATGGCTATTGCACCCAACCTAACTATCCTTGGTGAGTTTAATCAAGTGAACCTTCATGCTAAGATGTCATTGCCAGATTCCCAATGGTACCCTTGACACCTCTATCTGATCAATAATGTGAAAGATATAAGCGTTTTCAAGGTTTAAAATTATTTAATTTTTGATAATCGTTGTATATTTTCCTGTAGTAGAAATGCGCCGCGTTGCTGAACCGTCAAAAACCGGTTCCAATTGAGTGCCGGTTTACTTTAAGAAACGCCAAATACAATTTTAAGCAGAACCAACCATGTTTGAGTTGTGTCGCAATTTGAGACGCGGTTTAAGTTTTTTAAATTCGGCCTGAGAATGATTATGGAGAGAAAACTCTTGAACTTTAACCGAATTAAATTCGACACCATTATTGTGACTCGCATGTTCAGTTGGAGAACTGGTTGGCGCCCGTCTTATATCTCACGCTGGTAGCTTGATCAACCTGGCCAAGCATCCCGCCAGTACTGTACAGATTCTTGGAGCTGAGAAAGCGTTGTTTAAGGTGAGTCATTCGAGGGAGGGGGTGCAGAGCATCCATGAGCCCCGCAAACTTATCTCCGTAGCCTCCTGATTCGCAGAATGGCCTGCCAGCTAACTCCTAGAAAATCAAAATCGTGTCCGAGCCCCTTGCTATGTCTGCCAGAGTAACCAGCTCTGTCTCCACGTTCAGCAAGCCGATATCCAAAAACAAATACTTAACTTTTACATTCACCAAAAGCCTCCTTTTCGACAATATCTCGCATGATCATAAAGTTTTTAATGGTACATAAACAATTTACTGTTGAGATTCAGACTTCTTATTTTGTTTTTCTAAATTTCACAGATTCTTTACGGTGCAGAACTATTCCAGCTTCATATAAAGATAGACAAATTTTAAAATCATTTCGCAGGTGAATCATATATAGAATCTAATTAGACTACCACCAACTCACCAAACAATAGTTTTTGAGAAATACTTAAATTTGTGGTTTAATTGTATTTCAAGTAAGTATTGGTGGTAGTCTAATAAGTTTTGTACATAATACACCTCTGTGTTAAGTGATATAAAATGTGTCTTTCTTTATAAAAAGCTGCAGTAGTTCTGCACATTTGTGTAATTTGGAAAACAAAATAAAAGCCTAAATCTCAAAAATACAATAACAACTTTATTAACATTTTGAGATTTTTTGAAAAAATAGCTTTAGGTGACTGTAAAAGCCAGATATTTGGTTTTGGAAATGTAATTGCCGGACCTGAGATAGTTGGGGAGCCTGGCAGACGTAGTAAGAGGCTCGGAGACTATTTTGTTTGGCTAGGAGTTGGTTTGGAGACCCTTTTACGGATAAGGAGGCTCCGGAGATTAGTTTGTGGGGCTCATGGATGCTCTGCACCCCCTTCATCGTCAATCAGATGAAAAAGAGCAATGCTTCCAATTCCTTTTGTTCTAATTTTAAGCAAGCTTGTTGAATTTTAAATGCCTGTACGTGTTACTTGAAGAATTGAATGTCCGATTTACACTGGTTCACCAAACGCGAAGTCTGATCGCTAATGCACCAGATATCCTTGTTAAAAATTGATTTTTAATTTTGGGTTCCTTTTTAAACTGGAGTACACAGTTGTACGATGATAAGTGACAGGCTTTAATGATACCGTTGTGAATAAGAATGCCCTCCTCTTAACTCACGCAAGTCTCTGAAATGTGTATCTTGGTGTTCTTAAAAAGACATGTATTTTATAGAAGAAAATTAAGTTTAACGCGATGAACTCTTCGTTTTTTAATGATGAATACTACTAGCTCACTAAACCCAATATTCATGTTCGTTTTGAACATTTTGAGTTTGTGTTGTGTTTTGTCATAGTTACTCTGATATCCTACTAAAATATTGATATTTCGAAGTAAACTATGCACATAATCTAATACTTATTGGTGTCTAGGCTCTGAAGACTAAGCATGACACGCCCAAGTATGGTTTAATCTACCACGCCCAGCTTGTTGGTTCAGCTAGTACTAAACTCAAGGGTAAAGTCAGCAGGATGTTAGCTGCCAAAGCTTCTCTAGCTTGCAGGTATTATAGATTTAACATAAGTCTTGTTTCTGTATTTAGACTTAGATATTTAACAACTTTTTTTAACTCCGTACCCCTGAACTTTTGTTGTAGTATTTTACTTAAACATAATGGGGCTTATTTGATTCATTTATGATCCTGTCTGGATATGCAAAAAGCATAAACCCGAATGATTAATCTCGATATCTAATATTCACTGTGGGCAGTTCTAATTTGAGGATCGATAAAATATTGGTCTGTTTAAATCAAAGCTACCTTCAACCCCTGACGATTATCATACGGGATTAATTAACCAAAAATATGCGCATTGATATACATATCTACTAGTTAAGAGTTCCTTGAGCTTATTTTCTTCTTAAACCGTTCTTTCTTGGGTATAGAAGAAAAAAATCAAAAACCGGTTTTTAAAATGAGAGTTCCTCCCGTTTCTGTATATTAATGTTAAATGGCGCGCAAAATTTCAAATTTATCGACTTCATATACACTACTCTGATTGGTTGAGGTTTATAAATTATTTAGAATACAAGTACGGGATTAGAGGATCTAGCATCAATCTCGTATCCACCATTCTAAAGTTTCAACTCTGGCTTTATTATCTTCAAAATCCACACATGATTAAAGATCCGTTGTTCAGGGTTGATGCTCTGGGTGATGAGTCTACTACTGATCTGGGTATGGAGCATAGAGCTAAGGTTGAGAGTAGGATCCGTCAGCTAGAGAGCGGAAATACAACCAGGATCTCGGGAACTGCCAGACAATCAGCTAAATTCGACAAGTAAGCAACTTTAATTACTCAAAAGGTTTTTAGTCTTCATATATGAAGAATAAAAGAAATAAAGGATGGCGAACACAGTACAGAAAGCGTTCGGTGGTTCTAAAATTTTTATTCTTATCTTGGTCTTGTCAAATACAAAATTATTTCTTGTCGCCATAGTAAACTAAATTTTTGAACTTAAAAAAATTATAACATCAAGGGTGAAATTATTGCTTGTTAAGATGTTAACATACTGAAACTGTTAAAAAAAGAAAGTTTGTATCCTGAATGATGAAATTGTTTTGTACGTCAGTCTGATGGGTGCCTAACGGTAACCCGTACATATATAGACCTGAATGAGAAATGCTACCCTGACAAATTTAAAACTAAATTTTTAGAAATATTTTCTATTTTGTGAGCTAACTTGCAGCTCAACTATTGATTGTTCTAGGTATGAGAATAAAAGCGAGGTGTTGGCCTACAAGGCAGCAGCTGATGTCACCCTTCCCAGGAAGAGAGAGGTTGAGGATGAAGATGAGGAACAGAAACCTAAACCCAAGAAAATTAAGGTAGCTCGCGCGTAAAATTTGCAGGTTTTTGTTAAAAGATAAGTTTTCTAGCGTTTTCCTTTCATCACTTTGGGATAAGAACAACCTTAGTGGTCCTCTGTTTTTTACTCGGAACTAATTATTTTACACTGAACATACATTTAATTTTACATCTAGTATAATTTTTACATTTTAATTTCCCGGATTTTCAATTTATACTTTCCAGATTTTTATCTTATCCATCTTTGATTATGAAGCGCTAGAATTCTTTTTTTATATTATGATGAAATTATCTTACACTAGACCCAATATTTCTGTTCGTTTTGAACAGTTGGGTTAAATGATGTGCTTGTCATAGTTACTCTGATATCAAATACGTAGTAAACAAAATTCCAAAACTCTTACTCTTGCTGTATATTTCAGCTCGAGGTTTGATTTTGTGAGATTTGTACACTAAGTGGGATTTTAACTGAATTTAAAACCATTTATGTAAAATGAGAACCACACACTTTTTATCTTGAAATTATCTTTGTCTCGTACATAAATTATATTAAATTCTGTTAGTCTCTTTAAATAGTCAATTAAACTTAAAATTCAACTTTTTCCATTCAAATTTTTTAATGCGTTTTTAATATTTTAACATTAGATCTGATTTTATTTATATTTTAAAGGTGGAAGACGTCGAGGCTGAACCAGAGAAGAAGAAAAAGAAGAAGAAAGACAAGGAGCGGGAGAAGGAAGAACCCGACATGGAAGTTGAGGTTAAGGAAGAGGAGGGAGAGAAGAAAAAGAAAAAGAAGAAGAAATCTAAAACCGAAGGCGATGAATAAATTTGATGTCCTTGTATTAAAGAACTTTCTGGAAGAAATCATGGTTGAATTTGTATTCATTGTGAATATATATTTTAACTATTTTGTTACTGTACCTCTACTCTTATCCAAGGATAATGTTATGAATAAAGTATTTTTTTCTTATTCTTAAATTTTTTTGTTTGAATGATTTAATTGTTATGAAGAAATATGTCTTTACGATTGAAGCTGTAGTTTTTTGAGATACGGTTTACCACGGGTAGGGTGTCGAATCGAAATCCCGCTGCGTGAATGGTTGCGACGTTTCATTACTTTATAAATAAGACAGGCAGCATTAAAATATTCGCGGAATTTTATCTAAATATCAATATTTTAAACTGTTGGACTTGCAAATTTATGCAGTAGATAGAAGCAAATTTCAAATTTTAATTCACTAAATTGATTTGTTACCTGCAAAAATTTCCATAAGGCATAGGACAAAAGCAGAAATTCAAGTATTTCACTAAAAATAATGGATGGTAGTCTTAAGATTCCCACATGATATTTATGGAAAAAAAATATTCTCGTCTATTCAATGAAAGACATTCGTATGTATATATATATATTGCCTATAGTCGGCTGGACCGATTGGGCTGAAATTTTGTGTGGAGTGTGGACACTCGTGGGTGAGGGGGGGGGGGGTGTTGAAGGCTAAAAAAATGATTTTTATCCTCGTGCAACACCGGGCCCCTCAGCTAGTCTTTATATAAAACTGTAAAAGTAAAGGAATTTGTGAAATTTAGAAAACAAAAATAGACTTTAAAATTAAAATTGTTAAATGTTATTGTATCATTTAAACTAGTTAATCATCATGAGAATGAAAGACAAAATGGTGGAAGCTTGATGACGTACTATAGCAACAGAAGCGGAGACGTTTGCGTGTGGATTGGAGGTCTTTCTGCGTATCAGGAGGCTCCGGAGGTCATTTTGCGCGGCTCATGGTGGCCCTGCACCCTGTCTCTCTGTTGAAGGACATTTAGAGAATATTTACGGGACTAATTTTGGTATATTGAGGACTACAGAGAGTAACTGTCCGTTTACTAGAAATCATAGAAATTCTTGTGAAATTGATAAAAAAAAATTTACATAAAAAACTTTGAACAACGTATGCGATTCAAGGAAAAATAAAACATGAAATTGGGTTTTTGAGTTTAAAAATTAGCCACAATTTTTATGAAAAATAGACATCAAATTGACCCCCCCCTCTACTTTCTTATTGTGATAAAAATCTATAACATTTGGTACGTTTTTGGAAAGCCCTTGTACTCTACTTTAATAATCTGCAAAAAAAATTGGCAAATTTGCAAAAATCAAAATATTTATTCCAAAACCTTTTTTTAAAGCAAAAAATGTGCGCAGAAAAATGGCTCAAATTGAAACAAATTATACATTTTTGAAAAACCCTTGACCCAGCAAATTCAAGTGTGCAAAAACATTTGCAACATTTTTTTAACCTAAATGTGTATTCAAGAAAAACTGAAAATGTGCAAATTCCCTTTGAAGGTATCTGTGGAAAACTCTGTGCAAAGGTTCTTTGCAAAAATTGTGCAATCTGCTTGCTTTTGTTATAGGCTTTCTAAAGAGCTGTAAAATGTTGAAATCCAATGCTGGAAATAGGTCTAAATATAGATTTAGTCTGGCGTATAATACTCAGTCAGTAGGTATAAAAGCCTAGTTAGTTAGAAAAGCCAGAAAATTTGAGCTTCCTAGCTCAAATTCTTTTTGAGTTATCGCAAAAAAAAGGTACAGGGGAATTAAATAGGGTAAATCTTTACCACAGAGAAAACTTTTTAAAAATATCTATACTGCAAGTTTTTCTAAGTACAGATTTGTTCAAACCTTGAAAGATTTTTTTATTTCTAGATATATCCCGTGAATGTGCGTGTCTATTCACCGTGTGTGTATGTTTGTCTGTATACCCAGTGCCCACGCTTATGTATGTTTGTCCGTAAACCCACGGGTGTGTGTGCGGGTACAGGTAAAAGTATGGGGGTCCAATGACTGTAAGAAAGCCGGTATATAACGGGATATTATAATCTTGTAAGGAAGGTGTAGAGTGGAGACTTCGAGCTACGATATTCAGTCTGTCCAAGTACACATCTCATCATACACTGCGCTACTCTGACACGGAGAAACCAGTGTTAAAGTCAGCACCCTGAGAAACCATTATTTTAATATGTTAATTAGTGAGGTGTAGAGTTTATGATAAAACGCGAAACAATTGACATTAAATAAATCCGCGAAATAAAAGAAGTTGTCTTAAAAATGAATTTCCTGTTTCAGTTTCTTCTCACGATTGCAGTTCTTGGAACAGGTTGGTTAACATTTTTGACGTGCGTATATTACATATTGATGGCTACTAATTTCACAGAGTTGCATTATTACTCAGATCGTAAATAGTTAAATTAAATTAAAACTATTCTTTCAGATATTACAACCTACAGTTGTCGAATTTTATTCGATGCATTCGTATATATAGTTGATATTTCATAATATTTTTCATTTTACATGATTCTAGTTTTACATTTAAGATTATTCTCTTGAAATTTCGATGGTTTTTGATAATGAAGACGACATTTTCATATTTTCCAAGAATTTTCGAAAATCCGGAGCTAGCCAGCCGTGAAAACAAGTTTGAAGCGAAATATTAATTAAACAGTCTTAAAAAATATTATAAAATACATACGATTGCATCGAATTGAATTCGACGTCGACCTTTCATTTATATTTATGAATAAAATAAAAAGGAGTTTGACCTCGGACACATCAATTGAAATCTAAGAAATTCTATTTTACTTCCGGTAATTTAGAAAGCAAGAAAGACCGGTGATATTTAAAAAAGGACAGTTATGCAGGAATCAGAGACGAAATTAAAGTCATGCATCTCAACTTTAATTTTTTTCGGACACCCTGTATTTTTTATCTTGATACCATATAATAAAGCTAGTGACATAATTCAAACATACATACGTTGAAATATAAATACATTTCTCCATCCTGTTCAGATTAAATTCCTTCTCAAACATGATGCACATTCGTTGAAATATAAATACATTTCTCCATCCTGTTCAGATTAAATTCCTTCTCAAACAAAACTTGTTTTTTTCTTAAGTTTCTAATTTTCAAGGTGAACGTTCAATGGGATTCCCCATGACACACTAACAACAGATATTAACTAGAAATAAACCACATATTTGTTAACTATCGAAATAATTTCGAAATCATTAACAAAATGTTAGAAGGATATATCACCCAGGATGATTTGCAGCATCCTTCCGGTGGAGTAATTAGTGTCCTAAGTGTTAATTACCATCCCTCCGCTAGAATCTGTATTCCCTCCGGTGGAAATAATTTCCTTCCGGTGGCCTCGAGTCCACCACTGGGAATGAAAAATGCTAATATTTTCTTCCAGAACTCAATTATCACAGATTTTTTTTCTGTCAAAAACTTTTAAAAACTTAAACTTTTAGTTGCTGGGAGAAGGTGGCGCGAAGGACCTACAGTAGATCCGGGTGTTTTCGTTATCACACATATCAAGTAAGTCCTGATCTTGATTCTGATCTTGATCCTGACCTTGATCCTGATCTTGATCCTGATCTTGATCCTGATCTTGATCCTGATCTTGATCCTGATCTTGATCCTGATCTTGATCCTGATCTCTATATTAGATCTTGTCGGAATGGTGCTGGATACTGTATACTGGGTATAGACTGTAGTGTAGATACAGACTTCATTAATGATGATTCCGGCGGTGATTGTAATAGTCTCGGAACTGCATTCAGCCCCCAGGTAAACTACGCACCTCAGCCCCCAGGTAAACTAGGCACCTCAGCTTGGAACTTTTGTCTTCTGAAAGAGACTGTTAAGGAAAAATTCGAAAGGGGGTTTAGGTTAAAGCCTAAACATTTTAGGCGTGGATTGCGACCAATATTAGTTCTATCTGATGTCCTTGTCTCGAGAAATTGATATAAAACTGTGTGAAAGTTATACCAAAACCTATAAATGTAAGATTTGGTATTTTAATCCAAGTTTTAAACAGATCATATTAAGCAAATACTCAAAGAATCTGAAAATTACGAAACAGTTTTGCTACGCTCTTATCATAATTTGAAAAAAGTACTTATTCATTTTTAATAGATATAATTGATAATATGATTGTTACGTAACCAGAATTTCCACCAATGGCCGTTCAGTATTTGGTCATGAGGCTCCGTCGGCCATCAATTTCTCGAGACAAGGACACCAGATAGAACTAATATTGGTCGCGATCCACGTCTAAAATGTTTAGGCTTCTGCCTTATACTCCCTTACATACTTAATACTTAATAGTTTCTTTAATCCATAGATTAAATACAAACAAAAGTTATAAATCATCAACATTTCCAGAGGATAAAATTCTATGCGTAAAACGTTTATAGATGATGCCGCTAATCAACCTTCGAATTTCTACCTGATTGAATATCTATGTAATTGTACAGTGATAACCAGAGAACAATAATAGGAATACAACATTATATCAATATGTAAGTGTATTTGATGTTGTTACAAGGCAAATTGTTTTACTAGACATTTATTAAATCACTATTTAGTAAAATTGGTCTGTTTACACTGCACAATTTCTGTGTCTGCATGATCATTGGACTTTATAAAATTATAACTTGATTCTAAAAGTCGTCTTCCTATTTTAGAGTTTTCTGGTTATCGCTGTATAATATTTAATGTATGTCATAATCCAATCAAAAAGCACAGGTTTGACAGATTATGTTAATTCCATTGGACTCTTTAAAAGTCAAAGTAGATTTTATTTATCTCTCTGTTTGATTGATTGTTTTGAATAAATAAAATGCTAAATTTATGAACTCATAAAAAACATATATTTTTGAATGAACAATTAGAAGGAAGGATGCAAGCTTAAATAATTAAAATTTTAAACCATCTGTATAAACAGGGTTTCCTCTACAAATTGTCTATTTAAACCATCTGTATAAACAGGGTTTCCTCTACAAATTTTCTACTTAAACCATATGTATAAACAGGGTTGCTTCAGCAAATTTTCTACTTAAAGCATCTTTAAAAACTGTTTTTAGGCCAAGTTTGTTTGCTGCAAGGAAAATCCTGAAAACTTTGAAAATTCTCCTCAAGATGTTCTCGAAGCTGTAATTCTAGAACAGAATACAGGTAGACGACAATCTTAGGATCAAGTTTATGATCAGGGTAAATATCATGATAAGAAACTAAATCATGATCAGGAACCAAATCATGATCAGGAACCAAATCTTGATCAGGAACCAAATCATAATCAGGAACCAAATCATGATCAGGAACCAAATCATGATCAGAAACCAAATCATGATCAGGAACCAAATCATAATCAGGAACCAAATCATAATCAGGAACCAAGTCATAATCAGGAACCAAATTATGATCAGGAACCAAATTTAATGATAAGCATGAATTAGGATCTCAGTCCATTTGAAGCACAGACTACACACAGACTGCTTATCTCCTTTCACAGGGTGGACTACGTAGGCCTAAGTTGACCCGGAACGACATGCTACGTTTTTACGATAGGTTTTAGAGTGCCATCTTACGGCCACTTGTTGAACATTCGGGGTTTAGTTTTACAACTTTTTACTGTACACTGTCGTGTACAGTACTTGTACAGAATAGAACATGCTGTGAAAAATATCGCATTTTTCAGCTGATAATCAATCTTTGTAACTCTCTTATCTCTGATTTGAAGTAGCGGACTGACCTGTAAGAGGTCAGGGCAAGCTGTACAGTACACATGCAGACTTCATAAAGCAAAATGGGACGGTACACCAAATGAATCAGTCCTTTCTTTGGTGTTTAATATGCCATAGAAGGATTCTGAAAATTTAAAAAAATTGATATTGAAATATTTTTTTAAGTTCCAACTATAGCAGCGACGACATCAACAGAATCATCAACAACATCAACAGCATCAACAACATCAATAGTTACAGAAGTAGTTACAGAGATAGAGACACAAACAGAAACTGTTACCAGGGTAAATACATTGTTAATATTATTATTTTTATTATTATTATTATTATTATTATTATTATTATTATTTATTATTATATGTACTACTTCTCAGATAGAAGAAAACACAGAAATAATCACTGAGATAGTTACAGAGGAAGTAGAGGATGAAGATAGCTCGGAGGAATCCCAGGTTTGAATACTATTTTTAAATTCCTGCCATAAATACTACATTTACTTCTTAGAGCTCCATTTTATTCTTAAAGGACTGTCGTCAGTGTAATCTTAAGTGACCTTTCATTTATAAAGGAACATGTTCGTTGAAACATTCATCTGATCAATGATGTGATTTATTTGATCAATAATGCGATTTAACTGATCAATAATGTGATTTAACTGATCAATAATGTGATTTATCTGATCAATAATGTGATTTATCTGATAAATGATGTGATTTATCTGATCAATAATGTGATTTAACTGATCAATAATGTGATTTATCTGATCAATAATGTGATTTATCTGATCAATAATGTGATTGATCTGATCAATAATGTGATTTGTCTGATCAATAATGTGATTGTGGAAGTTTTTTAGCTTATACTGTGTGGTTAGATAATTTTCTCCCTTTGAATCTACAGCAGAAATTCGCAATTTAGTTTAGTGAATAAAATAGTGAATTTTCAAAGAGATAAACATGAATATCTCATTCATGTAAATCATGACGACACAGTCCCAATAATTTAAATGATTTAAATCTATTTTGTTAAAACGGTAAATCTAAATTAAACAATATAGTCTACAGAGTGAGTAAAAAACGGGATTAGCGTTGATTTACAAAATACAATAAAAACTTTGCATTGAATTAATGTTTTAGGTGAAAAAATATCGAAATAAATTGAACCTTTAAAAATAATTTTTTGCATAAGGCTAATCCCGATTTTTTTTCTCGCCCTGGATATTTGTCCAAATCTTTAAGTAAAAGTATGAATTTGATCTGGGGGTAAAACGGGATGAAATTAACACACCTGAACCCTATCTTATAAGAAAATAATATACTCACATTCATAAGTTCAGATTTCTTTAAAATTCTTACACAATTATACAATTTGCAATTTTGCGAAAATTAAATTTTGCAATCTTTTTTTTTCAATTTTACAATTTAGCAATTTTAAAAGGGATTGAGTCGTTGCCTCAAACTCTGATTTTCTAATCTCTATATCTTTGCAACCCAATGTCGTATCGTAAACTTAAGATATTTTTAAACAATAAATTCTGTTAGATCCATTCATTGAAATATCAAAAGTGTAAATCATCAGGTTGCTAAGATATGGGGATTAGAAAATTTGAGGTTGTGACAAAGTGTCAACATCTTTTACGAAGGTTAAAATTAGAAATTTTATAATTTCACTATTTTACATTTTTCATATTTAAAATTTTCAATATTTTTTTTCAGAATTCAGACGCAGTTTTGGAAAGTTCCACGGATATATTAGGATAGTCAAATTTTTGTTATATATTGTTTGTTTTGCGCAGAAATATATTAAAAATAAATATATTTATTCATTTTTAAATTTTTTAGCCGACTAGTTGGGGTAGTATTGGCCATTTTAGAAAAGTTTATTTGACTATTTTTGTAACAGGGCCGAATGCTGTTAAATGGGAAAGCTGGGGGGAGGGGGTCCAAGGAAATGGGACTGTTTTTGAGGTAATTTTTCCTTTTTTACATTTTTTTGCGTTGCGAGGGGGGATGGTAAGCTGTTTTTGTGCTGAAGAATTTTAGAAATTTTTTATTTGTAGTTTTAAATGGTCTAAAATAAAATATTTTTACTTTAAATCAAAAATCAAAATACGGTAGAAAATTGAGGCCATGCCTGGTTCAAATTTATTGGATAGAAAAAAAATCTAAACATTTTTAAATAGTTATTTTTATAATCTACAAATTAAATCTATCAGTTTAATTTAAAAAGTTTAAATTAAATTTTTGTGTTTGAATAAATAATCTTGTCATTATCGGGCTTAATCAGATAATTACTATTATTTTGAGAGCATGTGATATCTATTTAAACCGAACCAGACAAAGGAATTGAGTCTTTGCCACAAACTCTGATTTTTTAATCCCAATATCTCTGCAACCCGATGTCGTACAACCTAGATATTTCAAACTCAAAATATTTGATCCAACAAATTTCTTAGTTTGAAATATCTAAGGTCTACGATATTTGGTTGGAAAGATATAAGGATAAGAAAATCAGATTTGTGGCAAAGAATCAATTCCTATCGTCCGATCGTTATCTTAAGTTTATCCATTTATCAAACTAATTCCTTCAAGATATATTCGATCCGATAAATTATTCTATATTCGATACCTTTGGAATAAACAAAATTTAATTAGAGAAAACGGTAAAAAGTGGGGTTTAGATTAACATTAAAAGGTAGATACAACATATGTAAATCAAAATTCAGTTTATGGTTTGAAAAGACAACATTTGTAAATCAATATGGTGCATGGATTCAGTTTGCAATTTAAGACATCATTTGTAAATTGTAAGTTAAAATGGTGAATTCCGTTTGCATTTTCTAAAGACAACATTTGTGAATCAAAATGGCTGATTCGGTTTTAGTTTGTTATGTGGATTCAGTTTGCAATTTGTTAAGACAACATTTTTAAGTTAAAATGGTGGATTCCGTTTGCAATTTGAAAAGACAACATTTGTGAATCAAAATGGTGGATTCAGTTTGCAATTTGTTTAGACAACATTGTCAAGTTATAATGGTGGATTCCGTTTGCCATTTGTAAAAACAATTTTTGTGAATCAAAATGGCTGATTAAGTTCCTGTTTGTAAAGACAAAATTTGTAAATCGAAATGGTGGATTTAGTCAACGGTTTAAGTAAAGACAACATTTGTAAACCAATATGATAGATTTAGTTTGCAGTTTGTAAAGAAAATCAAAATGGCTGACTCAGTTTCAAGCTTTGTTAAGACACAATTTGATAATCAAAATGGCGGATTCCATTTTTGGTTCGTAAAGACAACATGATGAGATTCAAATTATAGTTTGTAGAGAAAACTTAATCAAATTAAAAATGAGCTAGGCATTTAGGTTATGGTTAGTAAAGGCAACATTTGTAAATCAAAATGGTAGATTATTTTCACTTTGTTAAGACACGATTTGTGAATCAAAATGCTGGATTCATTTTCAATTAGTAAAGGCAACATTTGTAAATCAAAATCGCTGATTCCGTTTGCACTTTGTTAAGACAACATTTGTGAATCGATATGGTAGATTTAAGTAGTAGATTTAAGACAACATTTGTAAGTAAAATGATGGATTCCGTTCGCAGTTTGTAAAGACAACATTTGTGAATAAAAATGGCTGATTCAGTTTCAGTTTGTCAAGACAATATTTGTGAATCAAAATATGGCTGATTCCGTTTGCACTTTGTTAAGACAACAATTGTGTATCAAAATGGCGGATTCAGTTTAAAATTTGTTGAGACAACTTTTGTAAAAAATAACTAACCCACGATTCCATGAACAGAGGGACGTTAAGTTACTTAATGTTCCTAGGGATAAATAAGTAAAATAACCACCCGCTCTGCGAAATTTTCATGAAAAAACTTGCGCTTTATATTGCTCAAAAGTCGATAAAATTGTCTAATTAGCTACTTTTTTGGGAAATTAAAAAGTTCCCTCGATCAGTTTTGCTTACAGAACATTCCTCGCTACGCCCTGGATGGTTTGTTGGCAAAAATGGTCTTGGGGATCCTTAGTTAAGTAAAATTCCCAAAACTTCCCTGTAAAGTAGTTGTAATTGAATAATTAAAAACAACATGGTTTTCAGTTTGAATAGTCTGTCAGGACAAAAATTGTAAAAATTGGATCGTTATAATTTCTAATGATCCTTCATTTCGAGAGGAGCATCCCCGATTTATAACTGTACCCTTTAAACCTTTTTCTGATAAATAATGTGAAAGATATTGTTGTTTTTCTGATAAATAATGTGAAAGATATTGTTGTTTTTCTGATAAATTATGTGAAAGATATTATTGTTTTTCAGATAAATAATGTGAAAGATATTATTGTTTTTCTGATAAATAATGTGAAAGATATTGTTGTTATTCTGATAAATAATGTGAAAGATATTATTGTTTTTCTGATAAATAATGTGAAAGATATTATTGTTTTCTGATAAATGATGTTAAAGATGTTGTTGTTTTTCTGATAAATAATGTGAAAGATATTGTTGTTTTTCTGATAAATAATGAGAAAGATATTGTTGTTTTTCTAATAAATAATGTGAAAGATATTGTTGTTTTTCTTATAAATAATGTGAAAGATATTATTGTTTTTAAGCTTGAAAAGTAAGTGTTAGATTTTTAAAAGTTTCTTTTATTGTTTTTGTAGCAGAATTGTTCGAGTCATCTTTTAAAAAGTCTCATCTTGAAGATATGTGTCTACAATTCCTTTAAGTTTTGATTTGATTTGATTTGTGGTTTGTAAAGACGACATTTGTATCAAAGTGGAAAGGATAATTTTTCACTGGATTTGTTTCAGGTTGAACTTGGAGCATCTGTTATTGGTTCCAGTGCAGTCAAGGTATGGATGGAAAGGTGGGGTGGTAGATTTAAATTAACGCATACAAACAACCAGTGTGAAGTTTTTTTTTAAATGGATGAGTAATTGTTTTTTGTTTTATTATACGAATTGAGTATTTTAAAGGTGAGTTATAATTGTTTATTGTACAGGGTGAGTTGCAATTGTTTATTATTTAGGGTTAGTTATGATTATTTATTATACAGGGTGAGTTATTATTGTTTATTGTACATGGTGATTTATAATTATTTATTATACAGGGTGAGTTATACTTGTTTATTATACAGGGTGAGTCTGAAGTATTGAAACCTGGAATAGTTTTGGATTCTCCTTCACCTCCAGCTTCACCTCCAGCTCTCATAAACTCTGTTGTTTCTGCCGGAGGAATGAATTCTATCCTTAAATTGAATTTTGTAAAAAAAAAATTTGGTAACTTAACAAAATTAAGAAATTCTTTTCCTTTGGGAGCATAAAACGTTTTGCCTTATATTGTCTGTGAGTACTGTACAACTCCTTATATTGTCTGTGAGTACTGTACAACTCCTTATATTGTCTGTGAGTACTGTACAACTCCTTATATTGTCTGTGAGTACTGTACAACTCCTTGAAAGTCTGTTCTGTTCTTGAAAAATGTGATTATTTAAGAGATTAATTCCGATGTCATCTTCAAATAGGTTTAAAGATTTCTGTGTTCAAGATTATTTCAAACAATATCTAATATCTATCAATCTAATTTTACAAATTCAGAAACTTTCTGTTAAACTGTTAACACAAATATTAGAATAAGATAATTCTTTAGTCAGCTTCCAAAACCACTTGGAGACTTTAGGAACCGCGGAACAGGTACTTATATGGGTTTGGATTAAATAAAACGAAATGCATCAAAGTACATATAGATATTTATAAGAAACTAAAAAATAATCCTATATTAACAAGGTATGCCTATATTAAAAAATATAAATATCTAACAGAAACACTTTTTAGTACAATAAAACGATGTGTAGTAGGGTAAACGTTTAAACATACTTATTTTAATGTTCACGCTAAAAAAATCAGTCTCCTACAAGGATGCTAAATTATCAATTTCTATCCCGCTTAAAGGGAAGGTGACCACTGACCAGTTCGACACTTTTTGACATACAATTTTGGTACAGGCTACATTTGGTCCTAAAAATTTAGATATAAGGCTGAAACTGCTTCCCATTATGATTATTTATTCGAATCAGGATGAACATTTGGACATTCTGCAGCTTTGCTTTCTATCCAGCTCTCAGGGAATTTGACAAGGAAATATGTTTGCTATATAATATTTTCTTTTGACATATAATAGATGAGCTTCATATGTATTGCAGCATCAAAATTTGACTGTTTTTTTCATAGTTAATAAACCTAAATTTCTATATGTCCCATTTCAAGTCAAAAAACAATAATATATTAAAAACACAGAATATTTCCTCTTTTAATTCAAAGGTTTCTTTTATTTACAAGGAAGCTGGATAGAAAGCAAAGCTGGAATAGAATGTTGTCTATATTGTATTGGTTAATAGGCCTATCACTGTATATTATAATCCTCGAACTTTAGGTTGATTTAAACTATGATTACTTGGACTACAACAAAGAACAAGAAACACAGGAGACTGAAGAGAACTTGGAGAACCTGGAGAGCAACTTCTTTCCCGGCGTGGTCGAAGTTGTTGTGGATGAGATCGGAGCTGAAAGTTCAGGGATCCAGGACGGATCCCAGCAGAGCTCCGGGTTCCAGGACGTATCCCAGAAGAGCTCCGGGTTCCAGGACGGATCCCAGCAGAGCTCTGGGTTCCAGGACGGATTGTATGGTACAAACTTCGGTGTACCCATTGTACTAGAGGATGTGGTAGGAAATACAGGATTCGAGGATCAAAGTTTTGAGAATTCCTGGATTGAGGATGAAAGGTTTGAGAATACAGGGTTGGGAGAGGATGAAACTACTGGACCTACCGCAGTTGAGGATTCAGAGATATTCTATAAAAATTTTGCAATCAGGGATTTTCTCAAAACATTTTACACAGTTTACTCCTCTTAAACAGAGAAACCATAATTAAAAATAATTGATTTTCATATTTATAAGCTTAGGCTAGACTCGCATGAATATCTCATTCATTCTTGATTATAAAAGGCACTGTTGTGAATCGGACATGACACTTCAATAGTGGAGATTGGTCACTTGACATTACGTCTACAATCCCTTTCCAGAAACCCACCAAGAATTATATTTTTCTTAAAATCCAAAAGGTCTACGATAAAGGAATCAATTAGAAATCATATCGTTTAGATTTGAGAGAATTCTATCCCAGCGATGCAATCGGGAACCCAGAGTTTTATTCCGGTGTCTCCGAGTATACTGAACCCCTGTATGTTGGACAGGACCTGGAGCAGGATGAGTATGGGAACTATGATTATGTTGAAAGGACGGATATAAAGCCTACTAGACCTACTGGAGAACCTAAACTCAGGTACCAGAGATAACTTATCATAAGACTTCTAGTTTAATAAAGGGTTATCCAGTTACCCACACAGAATGAGACTTAAAGGGAGTGTTCGCGAAAAATCAAAGTGGGTATAGGCTTACGTCGAAAAATTATCGATGGTGATCGCCACTAATTTTACTTCTATCTACTAGGAGAAATTTGTGAAAAAAAAAACTCATACCGAAGAACGTAGCGTCCATACAAAATTCAGAAAGTTGCTACATTCGACTCGGATCATAAAAAAAAAAAATCCAATTCCAAACAAATCATTCAGATATTACATTCTATAATTTTTCGAAGCATTCGTTTATAGTTGATATTTCATAATAGTTTAGATTTTTCTATTATCCGAGAGTTAGTTTTAAAACATTCATTCCTGTTTCGAGGATTTTTGATAATGAAAACGACATTTTCATATTCTCCAGGAATGTTCGAAAATCTAGCGCCAGTCGTGAAAACAAGTTGTAAGCGAGATATTAACTTAAAAAAAGCAAAATCAAAAATATTATGAAATATCAACTATATACGAATGCGTCGAAAAATTATCGATTATTATAGGTTGTAATATCTGACTTTCTAAATTTGTATGAACGCTTCGTTCTTCGGTACGAGTAATTTTTAACAATTTTTTCCTTATTGAATTGACGCAACAGAAAGAAGTAAGATTAGTCGCGATCACGACGATCACCATCGATAATTTTTCAACAAAAGCCGTTTAAATGATGACCTGAAACTCTTTCGAAAAGTCAATCTAAAGGTTAAATTTAATTGTGATGCCTTGAACATAGCTTTTAACGGAAAAACTGACAAATTTAACAAAAATCACATAAAGTCCGTACAGTTGTCTCTGAGATCTCATTCTTTGTAGGCAAACCTGTATATTATTTGTTACAATTACAGTATTATAGTGTGTTACATTTTTTACATCTCAAACTATTGGGAATTTTAGGATCATAAATATATAAAGGTGTACTGCTGAGAAATTGTCTGGTATAGTGTGTAAGATCTCATGAATATATAAAGGTGTACTGCTGAGATATTGTCTGGTATAGTGTGTAGGATCTCATGAATATTTAAAGGTGTAGTGCTGAGATATTGTCTGGTATAGTGTGAAAGATCTCATAAATATACAAAGGTGTACTGTGAGATATTGTCTGGTATTGTGTGTAAGATCTCATGAATATATAAAGGTGTACTGCTGAGATATTGTCTGGTATTCTGTGTAAGATCTCATGAATATATAAAGGTGTACTGCTGAGATATTGTCTGGTATTGTGTATAAGATCTCATAAATATATAAAGGTACTGCTGAGATATTGTCTGGTATAGTGTGAAGGATCTCATGAATATTTAAAGGTGTAGTGCTGAGATATTGTCTGGTATAGTGTGAAAGATCTCATAAATATACAAAGGTGTACTGTGAGATATTGTCTGGTATTGTGTGTAAGATCTCATGAATATATAAAGGTGTACTACTGAGATATTGTCTGGTATTGTGTGTAAGATCTCATGAATATATAAAGGTGTACTGCTGAGATATTGTCTGGTATAGTGTGTAAGATCTCATAAATATATAAAGGTGTACTGCTGAGATATTGTCTGGTATTGTGTGTAAGATCTCATGAATATATAAAGGTGTACTGGTGAGATATTGTCTGGTATAGTGTGAAAGATCTCATGAATATATAAAGGTGTACTGCTGAGATATTGTCTGGTATAGTGTGAAGGATCTCATGAATATTTAAAGGTGTAGTGCTGAGATATTGTCTGGTATAGTGTGAAAGATCTCTTGAATATATAAAGGTGTACTGCTGAGATATTGTCTGGTATAGTGTGTAGGATCTCATGAATATATAAAGGTGTACTGCTGAGATTTTATCTGGTATTGTGTGTAAGATCTCATGAATATATAAAGGGGTACTGCTTAGATATGGTTTGGTATTGTGTGTAAGATCTCATAAATATATAAAGGTGTACTACTGAGATATTGTCTGGTATAGTGTGTAAGATCTCATGAATATATAAAGGTGTACTGCTGAGATATTGTCTGGTATAGTGTGTAAGATCTCTGGTCTTGATGATGAGAATTATCCTTCAACAGTTCAGCTGAGAGATAAAGAAAGGCCCGAGGTTTGGTTTAAAGATTTATTTTCTCAATTCTTTTTTTTATTCAAAAAATATATCGTGTACATAAAAAAATTTTTCAACAATATCTAAAAACGTATTAAAAGAATATTATTTTTGACTTGAAAGCTTCGAAATACATTATTTATAAAATTTTTTTTGACCTCCCTTCTTTCCTAACCTCGCTATCGACATCAGAGTGAGGATGTAAGAGAGCTGAGTTACAGACCGAAGAAAAGATCAGACGATGAACCAGAAAAACCGGTTTTCTATCATCATAGGAAAATTGCTTATTGAATTATAAAAGAAGATGTTCACTGTTCAGCCATTTTAAATATTTGGCATGCTTTTGTTTCCAAATTGCTGATCCTTTTAAACAAAAGGAATTAACTTCAATATTAACCAAAATCTGTTAAAACCCTTATGTTCTGAAAACACAAATCTCAACTGTTGGAAAATGAGAGATTAATAAAAATAACATAATCTCTGAAAGGTTTATCAAGCAAAAAAGGAAGAGAAAAGATTAGGACATTTTTCATTTGTTCAAGTACAATAGGTGGCAACAGAGAAATGAACCAATTATACAAACGAAATTGTCTCACATTCCAAGATTAAAAAAAGTGTTAAAACAAAAACTGAAGAACACAAAAAATTGAACTTTTTTCACTGTAAGGAAAGCACTTTATTCTAAAATTATCACTATAATTGATAATTTTGTCGGACACAAACTGAATTGACACTTGCGACGTCAGAATACAACTGTACTGAGAGTGTACAAGAATCTATTTGCAAAAAAATCAGTGAATCTTAAAGAAATTTTTATGGCCTGGATCCTGATCCGGATCAATAATTTTTACAGGGAATATCCAGGATCCGAATCCGCTCAAAATTTAATGGATTCTAATCACTGTAAATAAAAAATTTTGATTTTTTTCTCGGCATTAAGCAGTAAATACTTGAAATATTTAAGATTAAACTTTTACTTTATGTAGAAGAGCGCAAATAAGTTGAATTTAGAGTAAAATAATTTTAAAAATGCTCAAAAAAGGTCTTAGAATTTGCACTTTAAATTACTCCTCCAAAAACTAGCTTTACCACTAAAAAGGACGCCTAAATAAAAGAATTCAAAACCCAGAATATGTAAATCTTTAACACATTTTATCAAATTATCAAAAGCAATTATTAATTAAAGGCCAGCTAGCCTAGAGAACATAGAACATAAACTTGTATCTCACAGCAACAAAATAGAAAACCCAGAAAATAAAACACCATCTAATACTGAACCTGAATCTAAGTCTGAATCTGAAACAGATTTTGAACCAGAATCTGAACCGGAGTCTGGAACTGAACTGAAATTTGAACCTGAATCTGAACTAACTAACATTGAATCTCAAAAACCTGAACCTGAACCTGAACCAGAACCAGAATCTAAATCTGAATCTGAACCCAAATCTAAAAATGATTCTGATTCAGCAAAAGTGAAGCCAAATAAATCCTCAAATGATGCATTGAAAAACCAAAAAGAAGAATCTGAGTTAGTTAAAGAAAAAGAAGAAGCAGTGGAAATAACTTTGAATTTATCCAAAGAAATGATGAAACCAGCTCAGGCTCCAGAAATGAATAAAGATCCAAAAGATAAACCAATAAAAGAAGTAAAAGAAGAACCTCTAGAAACTCCTGAAGACACCTCAGCAGAAACCCCGGTCAAAGATTCAGCAGAAATCCCGGTCAAAGATTTAGCAGAAACCCCGGTCAAAGATTCAGCAGAAACCCCAGTCAAAGATTTAGCAGAAACCACAATCAAAGATTCAACAGAACCTCCAGTCAAAAAATCAGCAAAGACCCCGGTCAAAAATACAGAGGAAACACCAAAAGAAGGAGAAACAGGTAATTAATCATGTTTTCAGATTTTTTTTAATGTGAAATGAAATTTTAGTTTGTGATAAAATGACTAATGACCATGATGTGCGCTTAATTGCTACTTTGTAATTTGAAAAAATTTTACTTTCACAAAACATTATTTCTTGAAAATATTATTAAGGAAACTGCCTCTTGGGATATTAGAATCTTTGGAAAAGACTCTTTTGAAACTTGCCATTAATATACAGGACGTATAATTTTAAACCAGTGTCTGATAAAGAATTAATGTCAGTTTCTTTAGTGTCCACTACATTTGCTTCATGTGGAGTGAAAGGAGGGAAATCAATTGAAGCACTGTGGGGAAAAGCTACAAGGTAATAGAATGATAACCAAAATATAAAGTAGTTATAATTGTTTAAATTCGAGATTCTTGATCTTTTAATATTAAATGGTTATATCTCTCACTTCAAAAATGTTCGGAGCACATTTTTATAAAAAGTTACAAAAAAGTGCAAATGGGCGGAATTTCTAATCAAAAGCAAGAGCAAAGACACCAATCATTTCGCTGTTAACTAGTTATTGCTAAGAATGGAAATGAACTGTGAAAATGTAATGTGTAAAACTGATTATCATCATATTAAAGCAATGCGCTGCCTGTTTTGTATACAACCTAATATATGTATGCACAGCAATGTACTGCCCGACATCGTGTACAGTTTAGTGTTTTTTTGTACACCATAATAAATTTGTTTACAGCAAGGTATTGCCTGACCTGGTGTACAGCTGGGTGTACGGTAAAACGAGCAGAACAAGTGAACGGGCAAGGATTCAGGATACACAGGCCAGAATCAAGGTAAGTCAGATGCCACCCTGATGATGTCTTTTCATGAATTCTCAATTATTTGAGCATTTTATGAAAACCGAACTGATCCCAAAGGAATTGAGTTTTTGTCACACACTCTTTTTTTTCAATCCCTATTTCTGTACAACCCAATGTTGTAGACCATCATAGATATTTCCAACAAACCGTTAAATCAAATATTCTAAGTTTAAAATATCAAAGCTTTACAAAATCAGGTTGCAAATAGGGATTAGAAAATTTTAATTGGTATCAAAGACTCAATTCTCTTGTCTATGTTTATTTATCCTAAATTATTCAAAACTAGCTTGGGAACCCAGCGCTGCTCAGGGTAGTCAGTTAGTCCCGCCGTTTACCCGCACTTTATCGTAAATTACGATTTTAGCTATTTTCCCTTTAAAAGTTGACCCACTCAATTTAGAATCTCAAAACCAAGCTAAGAACATTACTGTGGTTCTAATGAGCTCCCCAATTAAAGTTTAAGGCAAATCGGTGCAGGTGTTTATGAGTTATGATCGGATAAACAAACAGACAAACAGAGATTACAACTTTACATTTATAAATTATTATGCAGAGGAGAGCATAAATTCAAAAAATTAAATGCTTCAATGAAAAGGTATACAAATACATACTCATCCAGTGTCCGAATTTAATGAATTTGAGCCGCGTCTTAAATACGCCAAAAACCGGTTTCAATTGAGCGCCGGTTTAAGTCTTGAAACAATGAATACGATTTTAAGTGGAACCAACCCTATTTGAGCCGCGGCTTAAATTTAAGGCGCGGCTCAAATTCTTTAAATTCTGCCTCAGATTTATTATTTTAAGGGTGGGAAGGTTACCAGTACAATGCTGTACTGTTGGATGGCTGCTGTACTGGATAGTACAGGAACATTTATGTGTACTGGTACGCTACTCACCCCGTACCTAATCCTTACCTCAGCATCATGTGTTCATCAGTAAGTTTAACAAATTTATAAGTCGATTGCCTTTTAATTCTTAAATTAACTACTCGAAAAAAGTTGCAGCCAAGAATTGAATTTTATAATTTTTTTATACAGGCAGACCACTTTTTGGAAATGCCAAGATTATTAACTCGAGAATTTGACTGTGATGTTTAAAGATTGTGTAATATTTATATATCTAGGATGTTCAAGATCGGATTGAAGAATGTTCAAGTGGTTTTAGGAGATTCCAACCTAGAACTTGATCTACCCTTCGGAGTCCAGACCCATCAGGTCGAAAAGGAAGGAATAGTTATAACAATTGGCAAAAAAACTGGACTTTGCAATTTAGAATATTACTTATCAGAAGTGTGCAAATTGTTTAAAGAAACTGAGTTCTTGCCAAAAATTCTAATTTTTTAATCCCTATATTTGTGTAACCTGATGCTGTAAATCTTTGATATTTTTCAACTTGAAATATCAAAAAGTAACTTGAATTATCAAAAAGCAACTTGAAATATCAAAAAGCAACTTGAAATATCAAAAAGCAACTTGAAATATTAAAAAGCAACTTGAAATATCAAAAAGCAACTTGAAATATCAAAAAGCAACTTGAAATATCAAAAAGTAACTCGCAATATCAAAAAGTAACTTGAAATATCAAAAAGTAAATTGAAATATCAAAAAGTAACTTGAAATATCAAAGGGTAACTGTCCGGGTAGCAAAGATATACGGATTAGAAAAGTTTGTGGCCATAACTTTCTTGCTAATAATAATTTGGAGTTTTGTACATTAAAAAATAAAATAATTTTTTTTTATATTTTCACGATTTTAAAAACTATTCCTATTGACAGGGATTAGCCCATGAAAACTATGATATAAATGACTATCATCACTACCATGATATAGGTAATTAATAACAATCAATAATAAGATATTAAGATATTTTACGAACACGTGTGAGACAACATCCTTATCCGGTAATCCCGGTTACATTTTAAAACTCAAAACATCAATGTTCTTCTCGATAACTTCTCATTAAAAGGTGTTATGATTGACAACATATGAGATACTAGCTTGGGAACTCATAGTTACGCCCGCCGTTTACCCGTGCTTGGTCTTAAATTACGATTTTTCCCTATTAAAGTCGACCCACTCAATTTAGAATCTCAAAACCAAGCTAAGAACATTTGCGTGGTTCTCCCGAGTTCCCCAATCAATGTTTGAGGCAAATCGTTCAAGGGCTTCATGAGTTATGATCGAATGTGATTGGGTGAAACATGATTGGGCGAACTGTTACAACACCGGACGTAGAAACAAAAAACAAACAGAGATTAATACCTCATGAAAATAATAATTAATCAAAAGACTTGAGTTTTCGCCACAAACTCTGATTTTCTTATTCCAGTATTTTGGCAACCCAATGTTTTAGACCTTGATATTTTAAGCTATGAACTCTATTAGATCAAATAATCTAAGTTTGAAATATCAAAGGTTTACACCATCAGGTTGCAAAGAAATATGGATTACAAATATCAAGTTTGTGGCAACAACTCAAATCCTTTAATTTAGGTTTAGTAACGTTGTTAACTCCTGCTAAGCTTGATGAAGCAGTTTGCCTACTCTGCCTTCCTGACAAGAATATGAAATACGAGTAGGTTACTTCCTGACAAGAATATGAAATACGAGTAGGTTACCTCAGTTTTAGAACTTTTTTGGGGTTTATTAGGGGTTATTTTCATATAGGTAATTTCCCAAGGGCGACTTCCCAATTGACAATTTCCCAATTTTGCAATTTCCCAAGCGGCAACTTCCCAAAGGTTAGGTTAGGACTTCTGCAGGCTAGGATGGGCTAGGGGTGCAAGCGCTGCAGATAGAAAAGGCCAGGGGGTTGATAGATGTGGTTAGGACAGACTTGGGAAGTTGGAGTTTGGAAAATTGGAAATTGTAAAATTGGGAAGATTACACTTGGGAAGTTGCCGCTTTGGAAAAGGTCTTAGGGAAATTACCGAACATCTCTTAGAATTTTATTGCTACTTGATTATGTTATCCTTTATCATCCTTTACAAGTTAAATAAAGTTAACTTGTAACTTGTAGGTTAGTTCAGTTTATAAATTTTTGGGAATTTTATTGCTACTTTATCCTAACACATTAAACGTATAGCTGATTTGATCAGTTTTGAAACTTTTTAGGGTTTCTTAGAATTTTATGGTTACAACATCCTATTATCCTTTCATATTAATGGCATTAAACGTGTAGCTGTAGCCTTGTAGCTTACTTAGATTAAACGTTTATTTGATAACTTGTATTATTGTCGAAACTTTTAAGGGTTTATTCGAATTAAGATACGTGTAGGTTACATTTGTCCTTTAACGTTTGACTTTTTTCGATGGGGTTTTAAGAGTTTTTACACGAGAAAGTCATTAACAGTTTTGTGACTTTTAATGATCTTTTTTGGGTTTGAATGATAGTAAGTCACTTAAGTCCAAGGACTTCTTAGGATCTTTTTGGAGTTTAAATACAAGTAGCTTACTTCAGTCCAGGGACTTTTAGGGACTTATAGATCCCAAATTATTTTTAAAAATGTATTTTATCTTTTTTTAGAAATATCACATCCTGTGCAGTTACTGGGTACGGTAATCCAAGGTACAGTTTATCTTAAAAAATATTTCAATAATGAATTTATAAACATTTGGTGTGATCTTAACTTGCAAGAAAGTGTTTTAAGACAAACATAACATTTCTTCCTGATTAAAGATATTTTAAATTACTCTGTCTTTGATAGGATCAGACTTTAATGCTTTCAATCGAGCATTATACAGTGGTAGGCGATTATATCAATACACCGAAGATGACTTTCGATGTAAATTTTTATTTATATCAAGCTGTTAAACAGTATGAATACACATAAACATAGAAGTCAAAAGAAGCTGTCAGTTAAAAAGCTTCTCTTTGATTACTTGTACACTTTTGATTCGAAAACAGCTTAAATAAAAAAGCCGTCTTCATTGAATTGATATAATCGCTTACCACTGAACTATAAACGAAGGGTCAATTGAAATTACGCCTACAGTCCCTTTAATCTTATTTATTAATCCTGTATTGAAATAAAATCCCAATTCCAGGTTTTCTGATGAAGATGATGAATTATCCAAGATTGAGCACTATTGGACTGATACTAGAACTAAAGGTGTACTCAGAGAAGCAAATATCAAAATAACTGAAAACCAGGTAAAAATGTTTTTATTATAATTCCGGTTTTTCAAAGACAAGGCCTTTTACGGCATGAATTTGTCTGTTATAATTGCTACATTGGGGTTACAAAAAACAAGGTGTACTCTTTTGTCTTTTGATTAACGAAACAAAAACACCACATTAAATTATCGTTTTTTAAACACCTCAAAAATTACATCACTTCTTTATGAATAAATATTAATAAGGATTGTGTACGCAAAAAAAAAAAAAAATTAAAGAAAAAATTATTGAAACCAAAGAAAAAATAATAAAAATTTTCAAATCCAAGTAAAAGGTCAGCTTTGAAACAAAAACAAACAAAAAAATTTGAAAATTTGCTTTCAATGTGGCACAAAAGAAACTGGTTTGCCTAAACTGCTTTCAATGTGGCACAAAAGAAACTGGTTTGCCTAAACTGCTTTCAATGTGGCACAAAAGAAACTGGTTTGCCTAAACTGGTTTCAATGTGGCACAAAAGAAACTGGTTTGCCTAAAACTCAAGTTTTTTGTTTATGTTTAATTGTTTAAGGTTTGTGAATCTTACATGTCAGAGAAACTAGAAAACCAGGAGAACCAGGAGAACCAGGAGAACCAGGAAAACCAGGAGAACCAGGAGAACCAGGAGAAACTAGCGAACCTAGAGAACCTTGCTCTCAAGAATGAAACAAGATCATTTCCCTTTACCACCAAGAATATTCTGTGTGGTGTAGGGGCTGAACAAGATCAAGCATGTTATGTAAGTTTTCACATCTTTTTAGAAAATGACTGACATGTTTCTCATTGATTCGGTTCTTTGCATTTTTCCTGTTTTTATTGATTCAGTTTTTTGCATATTTCCTGTTTTTATTGATTCAGTTCTTTGCATGTTTCCTGTTTTTATTGATTCAGTTCTTTGCATGTTTCCTGTTTTTTATTGATTCAGTTCTTTGCATTTTTCCTGTTTTTTATTGATTTGGTTCTTTGCATTTTTCCTGTTTTTTTTAATTCAGTTCTTTGCATGTTTCCTGTTTTTTATTGATTCAGTTCTTTGCATGTTTCCTGTTTTTTATTGATTCAGTTCTTTGCATGTTTCCTGTTTTCTATTGATTCAGTTCTTTGCATGTTTCCTGTTTTTTATTGATTCAGTTCTTTGCATGTTTCCTGTTTTTTATTGATTCAGTTCTTTGCATGTTTCCTTGTTTTTTATTGATTCAGTTGTTTACATGTTTCCTGTTTTGTATTGATTCAGTTCTTTGCATATTTCCTGTTTTCTATTAATTCAGTTCTTTGCATGTTTCCTGTTTTTTATTGATTCAGTTCTTTGCATGTTTCCTGTTTTTAACGTATGCTGCAACATTGCCTGTTGGGATTCTTTTTTTGAATTAAAATAAACTTTGATTCTTTCTTTGATAAAAAAATCATATGAAAGAAACTGGTGTTTCACCGCAATCTCCAATCTTCTAATCCTCATATCTTTGCAACCTTTGATATTTCAAATTAAAGGTTGCCCACTGTAAAGTGAGGCTTTAGATTAAACACTCTATCTCACTCATTTTTAAGCTTTTGAAATTAAAAGCCAGTAATAATGAAGATATTTAGAATAGATTTCATTTCCTTTAGAAACTTAATTCTTAAATTTCTAATTATCTCTAGGTGAAAGTTAATAAACTAACATTAATCTATCTAGGCACTGATGGATGGAGGCTCCCCACTAAGCTGTGAGATGAATGGAATCCATCATCTAGCCGGTGTTGTCGTCTTCAATTCAGGGTGTAGTCAGGTATTCAAACTAATTTATGAATAAATTCTAAAATGGAATATTTTTGTTTTCTCCTGGGTCAAAATCATACTTAATCTATTTCAAACTTTTCATAGTCAATTTTGAAATCATTATTATTTAGCGCTCAAAGGCAAAGATTGGTTACTCTCCATCTTAATGTTTTACAAAAAAAAGTGACCTAAAAATGAATGAAATTTGTATTAAACAGTTTTAAATGGTCAGAGTTGAAAACTTTAGAATGGTGGATATTGAGATTAATGCTTGATTCTCTCTTTCTCTTAATATCGAGACTAACCTAATCTTGTACAATTGTATCCTGAAAAGTGTATAAAATTCAACCAGTCAGAGTAGCGTATATGAAGCCGATACATTTGAAATTTTCCGAGCCATTTAAGATTAATATACAAAAAACGGGAGGGACTCCCTAATTTAGAAAAACCGGTTTTTGATTTTTCTCTACTATATCCAAGAAAGAACGGTTTAAGAAGAAAATCAAGTGTGTCCATTGGATACTTAGGTTAAGTAATAGGGATTAGGGATATCTCATGCAAAAGTTTTCAGCTCTGTAGACTTAGTTCTCAGTGACCCTCCAACTATAAAGTTGCATAGCTGCAAGGTTACCCTGTTAAACTTTGAATTGACCAATAATGTGCAAGTTATCCTTGCTTTCTTAGCTTTCAAATTGTGGTTTCTCTATAAAAATACCTTGCGGATTTATTATGCATGAGAAAAACGAAGATATCTTCGATCTTCATTGTTACTTTTATAAAGAATTATGAGGTTACCGTTGTGAATACGACATGCCATCCTTTTTGCATTTCTTTTTGTTATACTTTTATGTAGATACAAGATATTTATTTTCTTTCAGGGATCACATGATACAGGTATACAAGGAATCGATACAGAGATTGTTCCAAGTGTATTCTTGAAGATACAGGACTATCTAGATTGGATACAGGAGGGATACAGTTCACTTAAACCTGGGCTAACTATCTAGAGAAACATGAACAACGGATCTGAACACTCTCCACAAACTCTAATTTTAACTTTCTACCCTATATCTTTGCAACCTAATGTCGTCTACCTTTGATATTTCAAACTTTGAATTCTGTAAGATCTGACAGTATAATTTTGAAATATCAAAGGTTTACACCATCATGTTGCAAAGATCTAGGGATGAGAAAATTAGAGTTTGGTGTGAGTATTTAGTAACTGTGAAAAATATTGTAATATTAATGATTCCCTTTGAAGCTACAAATACGCACAAAAGTCTTCCAATATTTTATTGAATTTCTCTTTTTAAAGTGTCGAAAATTGCCCAATGTAAAATATTCTTAGATTTATCATTTATTGGAAGTTATAATGTCAATAACCGGTGAGCCGTTGTTATTTTTGAATGTGATATTGCGCTCAAAAGCAGGGTCAATTTTATACTCTGTTAAAGGGACTGTACAGTACACTCTGTTAAAGGGACTGTACAGTATACTCTGTTAAAGGAACTGTACAGTACACTCTGTTAAAGGAACTGTACAGTACACTCTGTTAAAGGAACTGTACAGTACACTCTGTTAAAGGAACTGTACAGTATACTCTGTTAAAGGGACTGTACAGTAGACTCTGTTAAAGGGACTGTACAGTACACTCTGTAAAGGAACTGTACAGTATACACTCTGTTAAAGAGACTGTACAGTACACTTTGTTAAAGGAACTGTACAGTATACTCTGTTAAAGGGACTGTACAGTAGACTCTGTTAAAGGGACTGTACAGTAAACTCTGTAAAGGAACTGTACAGTATACACTCTGTTAAAGGGACTGTACAGTACACTCTGTTCCGTCCACGGTCCCTTTAATCATCTATTTTATTTATAATCAAATGTATGTTATTGCACCAATGTAGAATTATTCGTAAATTGTATCAACATTTTTAAAGTATATATCGGGCATTCGAAAAATCGAAAAGTGTGTTGTTTTGTTGATTTAGTTTTTGATTAAAATTGAAAGTTAAGAATTTGTTATTAAACCATTGTTTTTTTATAAATATTTTTTTAAGAAATTGAGTCTTTGGTCACCAACCCAAATGTTCTAATCCATATATATTTGGAACTTGATGGTGTAGACTTTTGATATTTCAAACTTAGATTATGTGATATAGCAGAATCCAAATAGTTTTAAATATCTAAGGTCTACTACATTGGGTTGAACGGATATCAGGATTAGAAAATCAGGGGTTTTGGCAAAAACTAAATTACTTTTTAAAAAAAAACTGTAACAATAAATTTAATTTTTCTATATCAATCTAAATTGTTTTATATATATTATATAAAAAAATGAGTTTACATAACTATCTATTATTTTATCAAATAATTATCTACTATACATAATACATTATCCAAACTTTTTTATCTAAAAAGATAAATTAATGAAATTGATAAACTGCATTAAATTATTGTTAAATTCAAAGATAATTAATGATTAAATTATAGTTTATTGATTACAATATTAACCCAAATATAGACCCAATTAATACTATAGCTGTGACTTAAGTTAAGCCCGCACTAAAGAGCTCCACTTTTACCACTTCATTGATATTTTATATTTTTATTCAACAGCAAAGCATGAGATATTACATTTACAAATAAGCAATTTACTATAATGCAGTTTGGATCCGCCTAACCAGGGTAGATTGTGTTGAGTGGTTGGCCCTAGGTTAGTCAACGATAAGGAAAATATTTGGATACGCACATCATCAAATCCACATATTATTTTGGATACCTAACCAGTTGATTGGAAGGTAAGAGATTTTCAGGTTATCTGTGGCAGGGTAAGATCAGAGCATAGATATACAAGAATATAGATCGCTTATGTCGTCTTCACCTTACCTAAGGGTTACAGTTGAAATTGGAAATGGCAATTTAGAAAGTAAGTAAGTAAGTAAGTACAGAGTGGGAGGGGGTGCAGAGGCGCCATGATCCCCGCAAAAATGACCTCCGAGCCTCCGGATTTGCAGAATTACCTCCATGCCCCGCAAAACTGGTCTCCCAGCCTCCATGACGTCACCAAGCCTTCCGCCATTCTGTCTCCACGCCCCGCATTTTGGCTCCAATAAAAAATATTTGGCTTTTATTTCCACCAAGAACCTTTTTTTAAAAAATTCTCAACATGATGAAATAGTTCAGATTGATAAATTAACATTTTGTATTAAAAAGTGAATTTTAATTGAGATTAAAGGCTTGTATTTTGTTTTTCTAAATTTCACAAATTCCTTAAATTGTGAAGAACTATTGCAGTTTTGTATAAAGATAGAAAAATTTTATATTATTTTAGAGGGGTCTCATATATGAATCAAACAATGTCAGCGGCAATTTACAAAACAAGGTAGTTTTTGTGAAATCCTTGTATTTGTGATTTTATCGTATGCTTTAGAAAATATTGAAGAACTATTTTTTTAAAAATTGAAACAAAGAATTAAAATTATCTAAATATCTATTACATGCTATACTAACAGGTTAGGGCAGCTTCATGGCATATCTTGTTGTTTTAATAAGTTAAATTTAATTATAAATAGTTTTTCTTTTAGCGAGAGAATATCATTTATTTGACTGAAAAAATTTATATACAGAGGTGGAAGGGGGGGGGGTGCGCAAAAACTGGTATATTATAGGACAGATCCTCATTAATTTGCATTTTTATGATAAAATGTAATGCTAAGGAATCGAGATGCCTTCAAATCATGATGCCTTCAAAAATATTAGATAAGTCGTTTATAAAGGTCGTCTTTTACTCATTCCATCTTAATGTAAACTTTTACAGAAAAACAAGTCCAGAACAATTGAAAGAATTAACATGTCAACATTGTTGATTAAACAATTCTTCAAACTATGACTGAGTCTACTATGAAGAGATATATTTTGATATTTGTTTGGTTAAGCCAATAAATTTAAACAAAAAATAAAAACAACAAGCGGAGACCAAAATGCGGGGCGTGGAGACAGAATGGCGGGAGGCTTGGTGACGTCATGGAGGCTGGGAGACCAGTTCTGCGGGGCCTGGAGGTAATTCTGCAAATCCTGAGGCTCGGAGGTCATTTTTACGGGGATCATGGCGCCTCTGCCCTCCCTCGTACAGATTGACCCCTAGAAGTAAAACGTATTCAATGACCTTTTCAAATGACGAGTTCATGATGTACAAGGGGTTGTACAATTTTCAGATTTACAGTCTGCATTAGCAATCTATATTCTTGTATATCTATGGATCAGAGGCGTTAACGAAGAGAAAAATAAAAATACAGGGTGTAAGAGGATGCTGAAGACAAAGAAGCTAATGAGGTTTCAGGTTTTTTTTATAAAATCTAAATGAACAACTTTTGGTTCGAATATAAACCTCTCATAATTAGTTGTCACATAGTTTTTCAGAAGAGAATGTTATGGGAAAGGAATTGAGTCTTTGCCACAAACTCGGATTTTCCAATTACTAAATCTTTGAAACCAAATGTTGTAAACCTTAGATATTTAAAACTATGAATTCTGTTAAATCAAATAACCTAAGTTTGAAATATCAAAGGTTTACAACATCAGGTTCTGAAGATATCGGGGTTAAAATATTTAAGTTTGTGGCAAAGACTCAATTCCTTTCTTGGATTCTTCACTCTTAGTTTCAGTACCATTATGCACAACATAAACGTTGAAAGCAGAAGCCCATCATCCACAAGTGTGCTTGGTAGGATGTAGTTGAAATATTACGATTGTTGTCTCCTATAAGATGAAAGAAGATTAGACTTAATTGAACATTTAATTAGATTTTTAGGGGCGGATTAGGGGATTAGGGGCGGATACGGGAATTTATTAGGGATGAGCGAATTATTTTTGCACGAACGCGAAAATTTTATTTTCTTGCTCAACCCTAGACGGAGGAGCAGGGGGAACACTGAGAGTATAATAAACCATGATTTTGACCTCATATTGCACAAAATGACAAGATTTGTTACTACATATGACTTACTAGCTTGGGAACCCAACTTTGTCCAGGTTACTTATAGTTACTCCCGCCCTTTACCCGCACTTGGTTGATTTTACCGGGAAACTAAATTGTCGAAATAAAAGTCGATCCACTCAGCTTAGAATCTTAAAACAAACAAACAAGCAGACACCCAGACACCCAGAGATTACAACTTTATATATAGAATATAGATATTGCCTTAAGCTTAAAAAAATTACGCATTAATCCGGACCTTGAAGAGAAAATGGTAAAAAAAACTCAATGTTTAATAATTTTCGGATATTCAATGTATTAAATAATTGATAAATGATTAAGAAATTCATTAATAATAACTCAACTAAATTTTTGACAAATTAAAAAATGATTAAAGAAAATGATATATTGATTACTGAATAAAAACAATATAATTTATAAACTGAGACTACGTGAGTTTGTCCTGAATGCATGTGACATTAAACAGTGATTATTTTGTTGATTGCACTTTTTTAGATTTCATTTTCATTTTAATGCTTTAGTTGATAAAATTAGACAATTTTTTTCATCCGCTCACGGACTGTTGCAACAAAAATTCTTATTAAAAATTATAAGTTAGTTTGAATTTTATTTTGGGACCTTGTTTGGAAATCATTTTAAATTAATTTTCAATTAAAAGTTTTTGAGAACATTTCTTAGGATTTATTATGTGCGCAAAAAAAACAAGCAAAACGTTTTGCATTCGCATGCACACTTTTTCAGAATCTGAATTCAAGATTTTTGGAACACCCGATAGAATCTAAGATCTAGAGTACTGATGTTAATTCTAGCACATGGCCGGTTAGGAATTATGTATTTGATAACGACAAAATATGTTAAGGGGTGATCAATAATCATTATTATTTACTAAGTTTACAAAGAAATAATTTTTTTTTTACAAAAAATTGAGAAATTACTATTTTCCAACTTGATTCATCATAAATACTTAGTGACTTTTTATTTATAAAAACACTATACCCCTATTGAACTAAACTACGTTATAACCCCCCCCCCNCTTTAATAATCATCCCCTTTTATCATATGATCAGATTCAGTTCTGAAACAATGATTCTACTGAGAGCAGTAGTTTTAGGAACGAATATATATCTTATATATACTTTGCTTGTCTGTCTGTCTGTTATAGTTTGTTTCCAATGAAACGTCAAAATGGCTGAACCGATCGGGCCCATTTTTTTTGTGGGACATCACGTGACCCCAAGGAACTTCTATGAATGATCAAAATTTTAAAGATTTGTGTTTAACAGTTTTTTATTTTTGTAAAATTTTGAAAATACGCGAAAAAATATCAGGAAATCTGCAATTTTTTTTTATATACTGTACCAAGTGAAGATGCTCACAGATAAAGCCACACTTCAAATTTGAAATAAAAAATAAGACAAATACAAAGACGACCTCTGATGTATGTTGAAGGACCAACTGACTATGTAGTTTAAAGTGGCCTCCAATTTAGAAAGTTACATTCCGATTTACAACGGTGTCCTTTGAAATTTAAAAATTATGGAAATACCTTGATTTTCTGTTGGAAAATTTAAAATTGCGGATTTTTGCGATATTTTGATCCCTTTTCAATATAGAAAAACGATGATATATTCCTCACTGTATCTCAAGCACCAAATATAATGAATAGCTAGACATGGTTCAGCCACCTAGACATGGTTTAACCACTTCTTATCTCCTTGAACCTAAATGCGCAAAAAAGAAATGGCTAAACTACGTCTGCGCGGTTCAGCTACATCTAATAAAAGGTATGCCAAAAAAATATATGTAATTTTTTAAATGGAGGATCACTTGAAAGTTGAAATAAGTTTTTTAATAAATAACTAATAAGGATTTAGTTTCGGTGACGTTTCCCAGTGTTTTACGTTTTAACCAAATTATTCTGCAGCTTAAAAAAATTGGCATTTAACCTTTTTTATTGGTAAACGGATTTTATTCTTATACCTCTGCACTTTTATGATCAAAATATAATTTTCCGTCAGAAAAATAAAACAATAATATAGAAAACCTTTTTTTGTTCATGTTTGTAAATAAAACATATATTTGTGTTGAACAGGAGTCCTGGTGTCTAGCATAGGAATAGATTTTAAACTATTTTTAAGAACATTTTTTTTACATATTATGAGTTTGACTTTGAGGCCAAATTTTAGGGAAAAAAATACTTAAATATTTTATTTTTGCATTTTAGAATCTTATACAGTCGTCATTATACATATCAATACAATGAAGACGACTTTACGAAACTTTCTAACAGTCTGGATATATATAAAATGGAAAAAAAGAGAACTGTGTCAATTTTACAGCTTCTCTTTGTTTACTTGTAAACTGGTAAATTGGAAAAAGGTTGTTAGAAATCAAAACTTAAAAATTAATAATTATATTGATATAAACGCTGACCACTGAACTTAAAAAAGCTTTTGTTAAAGTTATTCCTTGAAGGAATCCAATAAATAATAAATTAAAAAAGTGTTATTTCTAAAATCTCATATCTGGTTGCAGAGGCTGTTGGACCTTTTAATAAACTTTTTCAGTTTTTTACAGCTTCTAAACCAAGTAGTTCCCTTCCACCCAGGTAATATTTAAAGCAAAAAAATTGAGTTTTTGCCACGATTGATTTTCTAATCCCTATATCTTTACAACCAAATTTCGTAGACCGTTGATATTTCAAACTGTAAATTCTGGTAGATTATGTAGCGTAAGTTTGAAATATCAATGGTTTACGCATTCAGGTTGTAAAGATTTAGGAATTAGAAAATATATGGCAAAAACTTCCTGAATCATAAGAAGTGATAATTTCTAACGTTTTTCTTTTTTGACTCTGCTGCATACAATCTAAAACAACAAGAATATCTTACTTATTTTTGCAACTCTTTAAGCAAAGGGTCACACTCCCTTTATTCAAATTTTAGTGATGTCGGAGAACCTCTCTTCCTTACTCCCCTTCTAGAGGCGGGAGAATGGAAAGAAGCGCAGGAATGTCGTCTTTATCTATTGAAATATTAATTTTGATTTTATACATGTTTATAATGTGTTGATTGGACTGTCAATTCTATTTAAATTACAACTGACATATATCAAATACTTTTATATTGTGGAGGAGCTAGATTGTTGTACCAAGCAACAAAACCAAGCATATATAATATAGAACTTTTTCCCATGTTGTAAGTTAGAACTCTACATAGATATACTTCGTCTATTTGTCTCGTTCTTTGCGTCGCTACATTTTGGTGACCCTGGAGTGATATTGTCGCTGAAGACTGTAAGTTTTCTCTCGCCAACGTACCTGAAATTGGTTTTGACATCTAGTTTTCCACATCTAGTACCAAATTAAGCTTTCCAGTGATTTCAAGAGTCTGTTTCAGTTTATTTCCAGCATTTTCAAGTAGCGATTGATGAGATGACAGAAGAGCGAGGAAGTGACATGATCCAGCCGATTCTACTGCCTCAAACCTTATATTTTTGGAGCCTCTGTCTCAGTGTTCCCACACTGTCCTCACCATCATCATAAGCCTAGTGTGGGTGTTCAGTTGAGAACCGCCGATGGTACCTCCATGAACCCTTTTGGTTCTTGTCAGATAACTCTCCAGTTCGGTCCCTGCCGGTTTGAGTGATCCTTTCTCCTTGCATGTCTCACAGCTGTACTGTGTTTATCAAGTTAGATCCTACCAAGGGTTATTATCAAGTGCCAATGACCAAAGGGGACATTCCAATGACGGCAGTGATTACTCCTTTTGGTCTCTTTGAGTGGATCAGGATGTCGTTTGGTTTGAGAATGATGGACCAGATTCTCAGTGAAATTCCCCACTGTTTTGTGTATGTTGATGACATGATCAGAGTCACACCTCTACTCATGTCCACCAAGTTCTCAACCGCCTCCGCCTCCTCAGCCTCAGCATCAACCCTGCCAAGTGTGAATTCTCTAAACAAGAGGTTGAGTATCTTGGTATGAGAGTGCCCAGCAAGAGATGTTTTCCTCTCCAGAAGCAGTCTGACGTCATTTCCGCTTTCCCTCACCCTGAGGTCAAGAAGGGTCTCCAACGATTTCTTGGTATCCTCAACTTCTACAGGAGATCCATCAAGGGTACTACAGGGATTCTTGCTCGGCTGACTGAAGCATTGAAAGGGAAGGTTTCAACTTTCTCCTTGACTTTGAAATGAATCCAGCTTTCTCCGCAGCCATGTCTGTTCTCTCAAATGTTCCAACCCTTGTACAACCAGATACTTACACCAAAGTTTCCCTCTCTGTGAATACCTCTGGTTCCCACATCAGAGCTGTTCTTTAACAAGATGTTGCAGGTTCTTGGGCTACTCTGGCTATCTACTCTAAAAAGCTTTCCTATGCCCAGTCCAGATACTCCGCCTTCAACCGAGAGCTTTTTGCAGCTTACTTCACTCTCCTCCATTTCCAGTTCCTCCTAGAAGGTAAAGAGTTTGTTTTATTCACCAGCCACAAACCTCTAACACATGCATTGTTTAGGTTTTCTCCGCCCTGGTCTGCCATGCAGCAACGCCCCCTGTCTTTACTATCAGAATTCAACTGTGATATTTGCCGTCTCTCTGGTGCAGAGAATGTGGTAGCTGATGCCTTATCTTGTCCTGGTCCTGCTCCAGATACAGCTGAGATTCGTTCTACATTGTCTCTGCCTACCCCGCCTTCAGTTCCAAGAATATCTTATTTAGAAATGTCCAAATTTCAACAGTCTTGTCCTAAAGTCCAAGTCCTCCGCCAGTCCTGCTTGTCCCGTTCCTGTCTCCAGCTTGCATGGGTTACTCTGTGATGTCTCTACAGGTATCCACCGTCCCCTAGTTCCATAGCCTGTGAGAAAAGCAGTGTTTGACTCCATCCACCACGTTTCTCATCCTGGTAAATGTGCTTCCCGGCGACTGGTTTCCCTGAGTTTTGTCTTGGAGTTTCTAGAGAAGGATGTCAACATGGGCTCAATCTTGCCTCAACTGCCAATAGAGTAAGGTACAGAGTCATGTGAAGTCTCCAGTTCATCATATTCTGTTGCCTGGACGGAGGTTCTCTAATATTCATGTGGACTTGGTTGGTCCTCTTCCTCAGTTCAATGGGTTCTCCTACCTGTTCACCATCATTGATCATTCAACCAGATTCATAATTTTTTCCCTCTGAAGCTGTGTTTGGTTCGCGATAGTTCTACCATACTATTTCCTGGATAGCCCTGAGCTCCCTTCTCCAGAGTATCTCCGACAAATCCAACAGATTATTAAGAATACTTCTGTTGCTCCACCTCATCACAACTCAGCTCCGCCATCTTCAGTTCCAGCACAAGTTCCTCCAAGTTTGCTCCAACCCATGTCTTTGTCAGAGAAGACAATTTATAAAAAAATTATGGTAACATCAAAAATTGATAAAAAGGGGGGGGGGTTCCAAACATCGTATTCTAGGACGGACACTCAAGTTTTTTCTGATCTTGATCATACCTTGAAAACTATGATATCTCATAAAATAACAATTTAAAAAAACTTTAAACAAAACTAATCAAAATTGTATGCGATTATTTACTAGAAAATGGCCAGCTAATACTCACAAAAACAAGTTAAAACCACTGATTTACTGAAATAGCTGTTACAGTTTCTGGATTTGACGCCATATTGGAATTGAAAAGCGAAATTTTGACTTGCATGCGCAAAATAAAAATTAAATGCCGTCTTAAATTTAGATTCAAAATTATTGTATAATTTAATAATAAATGATGATATACAATTTTAAACAGTTTTTTAGAATAAAATATTCAATTTTTTTTATTTTTTTTATTTTCTTTATCATTAAAGTGTTCTTAAATTTAAAAATAATGAATGTTTGATTCAAAATTCCTGAATTATTTATTATCACCACTAGTATATAATTATTAAATAAGATTGAATATATATGTATTTGGTTTAGTAATTTGTTTCATAAAAGTTACAATAATATTTAATTTAAAAAAATCTATTTTTGGGAAATTTTTATTAAATAATAATGAATATTATTTACAAAAATATTGATTGGAATATAAAAAAGATCCAGCTTTGCTCGCTTAATTTTACGGTGCAGGAACCCCCTAGCCGTGGTAGGTGGTAGACCTCTTCTCCAGTATCTCCGACTCTGATGCCTCCGGTACCTCTAGTGCCTCCGATGCCTCCATTGCCTCTGACACCGAGTCTTCATACACCTCTTTTGACAGCTAGAAGTTCAAAGAAGAGGGTCCCTGTACCGTCCTCAGTCTGGAAACCCTAGAGGAATAGTTAGAGCTAAACATCTTGGTTCTCTACTTTCTCTCAAGATGCTGGGGGTCCCCTGTGGACGAGCTAGATTGTCGTCTTCCATTTTTCCCATGTTGTAAGTTAGGACTCAATATAGATATATTTCGTCTGTTTGTCTCGTTCTCTATCATTATTGATGTTTTAAAAAGTTAAAAATACAGTTATAAAAAGTTTTCAAAACAATGCAAAGTTGGATTTAACAATCTTTAAAAACGAATAAAAGACAATTTAGAATCTTTCTTTCGTATCTTTACCGGACGCACCTGCCGTCGCCAGCTATTCAGGAAATTTGATAGAAATATCCAGGGACCGTATTTAATGAATTTGAGCTAGGTCGCTGAACTACATACCGTTGATTCAAATATATTGTATCATGTAGTTCTGCAGTGTAATTGTTAAAATCTATAGGATATGGAATTCAGGATTAGTCCATGTCATAGGTAGGTTATTCAGGACCTAACTCAAATTTATTAAATTTGGTCCCAGACCTTATAGTTCTGTCATACACAATGAAAATTGATATAACGTTTCAAAAATTGTAGTCTTTCGTTTTTTTGCCTGTTAAAAATTTAGGTGAGAATTTTAGAATATTTGATTTATACAAGGTGTCCCACAAAACATGACAGTTGATGAATGGTTTTGAATGTCTTCTTCCAAATACTGTATTAGATATTAAATACTTTATGCAGTTTATTTCATCAAGCAAATTATTTACTTAAATATGTTTTACTTTGCTTTCCATTTTACTATGATATTACTGCCACATAATATTTTTATCATTATCTTCTGTATCAAACAACTTTACAAATTATGGAAGAAGACATTTAAAACTATTTACTAAAGGTCATATTTCGTGGGACACCCTGTATTTCTAACGTAAAGAGATACAGATACAATTACACTTCCTTACTGTCAATTATTACACTTTATATATCTACATAATTTTTAAAATGATTTCTATGGCATATTTAAATTTTTTTAATTTCTGCGTATCAAATAACCCCAGGATTCATTACCGTGAACAAGGAGTTTAATTCCAACATGTTTTTCTGGTATTTTCCATCTGAACATGAACCAGACACCAGCCCTCTACTTATCTGGTTACAGGTAGATAGATAGAAAGTATAGATAGAAAGATTGATAGATAGATAGTTAGATATAGATAGAAAGAAGGAAAGATAGAAAGATAGAAGATATATAGACAGACAGACAGATAGATAAATAGATAGACAGATTGATAGATAGATAAATATGTAGATATATAGATATAAAGATAGATAGATAGATAGATAGATATGTAGATATATAGATATAAAGATAGATAGATAGATAGATAGATAGATAGATAGATAAATAGATAGACAGATTGATAGATAGATAAATATGTAGATATATAGATAAAAGATAGATAGATAGATAGATAGATAGATAGATAGATAGATAGATAGATAGATAGATAGATAGATAGATAGATAGATAGATAGATAGATAAATAGATAGATAGATAGATATATAGATAGATATATAGATAGATAGATAGATAAAACTACAAAAACCCTGGAGACGTATATCAGTTAGAACGAAGCAGCCAATCGTTCCACTGTTTTCTGAACATCACTGTATTATATAGGGTGGTCCAGGAGGGTCGTCCTTGTTTGGGCTTTTTACTGAGAACGGTCCTTTTAGCGTTACAGCGTCTGGAAAGGTAAAATTTTTTAGTTTAGACTTTCTGAATGTTTTAAAGCCGTTTTTTAATAATATTTAGCTTAAAACTTGTTTCTCTCTTCGTGTTGAGAATTTGAGATACTTCGAGAGAAATACTAATTCTTTGCTTCACATGCCTTCTTCAGCATATCAGTGACAAAATAAGCATAGAATTCCGTCCTCCTCTTGCAAACGCTTTTTAGATACTGACAATATGCAGTTTGTTTCTTTTGCCACTGAATTAATTGTGAAGTCAAGTTTAGCTAAAGAATTCATATATTTTCACGGCTGGCGCTGGATTTTCGAACATTCCTTGAAAATATGGAAAAATGTCGTCTTCATTATCAAAAATCCTCGAAACAGGAATGAATGTTTTCAAAAGTTAATCTCAGATCATAAGAAATAAAAATAGTGTAAAATATCAACTATATACAAATGCGTCGAAAAATTATCGATGATAACAGGTTGTAATATCTGAATGATTAGTTTGGAATTAAATTGCTTTTTTTACGCTCCTAGTCGAATATGTTGCAACTTTCTGAATTTGTATGAACGCTTCGTTCTTCGTTATTTGAGTCGTTTTTAACAATTTTCTCCCTATAGACGCAACAGATAGAAATTAAGATTAAGATTTTTCAGGTGAAAAAGAGAAAAAACAGCTGGACGCTGACCCATAATGTTATCTATATAGATAACCCGGTGGGAACTGGATTCAGCTTTACAAAGGAAAACTTTTCATGTTCTAAAAATTTATTACCTAATGACTCTCCTCTAAGACCCTAATTCTTCGATCAGTGTACTGCAAATCGATGCAATACTAACCGAAATTTAGTTTGTAATGATTCAATCACTGCAAAAAAGAATTCGTAAGTTGAAAGATTTTTAAATATGAATCCTTCATAAACATGAATATGAACATGAACATGAACATGAACATGAACATGAACATGAACATGAACATGAACATGAACATGAACATGAACATGAACATGAACATGAACATGAATATGAACATGAACATGAATATGAAGGTTCTATTAGAATGGATATGCTGAGAATGAGACGGTTGTGGCTGATGATTTATTTGAGTTCTTGATTCAAATGTATTCATTGTTTCCAAATCTTAAGGTGAAAATATTTATTTATTTTAATTTCAATTAATTTATTAGTTTATTCACCTGTTCATTCATTTTGTCGTATTATTCATTTTACTTTAATTTCTTGTCTTCTCATTACTTCATACTGCAAAATTAAGAAGTCCCATTAATATGTATGAATTATTACAAAGTAATATATGAATTATCGCAACGTAATGTATGAATGGTCATGACGTAATTATGAATGATCATGATTTAAGTATGAATAGTCATTATGTAATTATAAATGATCATGATAGTACCATTAAGGATCATGATATTTTCATTAATCATTATAGTACTATCATTAATGATCATGATATTTTCATTAATTATTATAACAATATGATGAATGATCATAATTTTATCAATAATGATCATGATATTGTCATAAATGATCATGATTTTATCAAGAACACTCACGATATTGTCATTAATGATGATGTTATTATCATTCATGATCATGATATTGTCATAAATGATCATAATATTTTGGGCGCTACGACATCTGCTCTATTTCCATTTGCTCTATGGTCATTTGCTCTAGTTCCATTTGCTCTATCAAGTCATTTGCTC